AAAAAAAAAAAAAAAAAAAAAAGAAAAAAAGAAAAGAAAAAAAGAAAAAAAAAGCAATGTGCGTTGTTTTGTGATCGCAATTTTCTAGTGACCACGTGTTAAGCAAAGCAATCACATCAAGAAACTCATAGGTCGCAGGAATATGTTTTATTGTAATTTTTAGGGTAAAAACGGGCACAATCCAGTCGAAAATCATTGTCCTGCGTGTTCATATGTCGCATTGAATGTGAAAGATCTTGAAAATCACCAAAGACTGCATCATTTGAAAAGAAAGTTTTTTCGATGCGCAAAATGCGATTACATGACGCATATCAGAGCTCGTTATACTAAGCATGTTAAATATCATTCTATGCCAATGATCAAGTGCGATGCTTGTGATTTTAGTTCAGCATATAAGGTTTGTTCCTTCTACTACTTAGTTTCCGAGAGATGTGTGATTAAGTAGGTCACATATTTCCCATAGGGATCCACAAAGAACTGTTTGCAATTATTAATTTGTGTGTGATTATAATTACATATAAATTATATTTGTGTCTTTTTGATGCTGTTTTTCAGTGGAATCTAGAAAGACACATGCGGAACCATGGAGGTGGCGGTGCTTTCAAATGTCGAGCATGTAATTTTACTGCTGATATTCGTCAGAGCTTAACAGTGCATGAGTCATATCACCATGATCCACCGGTGGGTCAGGTCAGCCGCAAAAGCAATAAGTTTGAACGTAAGCCACGAAATAGTCCAAAGCGTTACAATCAGGTAATAAATATATGTAAATCACTGTGATTTTGATTTCATTAAAATGCAAAATAACATGACTACATGATATATTGATTAAATGTTATAAAATAATGTGTGAGATATATGTGTTTGTGTTAGGTTGGAGCAAGTGACTTTCGAGAAGTATTAAATAAAACTGGAAACACAACCAATTCTGCAGACTCGTTTATAGATCATTCATTAATCTCTATAGATGATAAGAAAAGTGCCCTGGCCAGTGCCGAGTGTATTGCATTAAAATGTGAGGAGCAAGGCTGCCAGTTTGTAACAGCTTGGGATTCCGAAATGCAACGTCATTTAGCCGAAAGCCACACGCCACCTAAGCCGAAAAAACCACTGCCATCATTAATTCCATTAAATATAGCCAGCTCAAAGCCCAATACCGCCAGTAGTGGACCGCCTTCAACCTTATTGAAGGTTCCGCGTGTCAGAGTGAGACCTGAATTGGCACAAATCGCAAGGAATACTGAACTGGCAAAGATGTACGGAAATAAGCAGGTTAGTTGGAAGCAGAAAGTTATTGGTTTTTCTTTTGTCAATTGAGAAATACGATTTAAAACGTGTTTTTTATCTGTGCTCATTGTTTGTCATTTGATTTCAGACTACTAATTCAAAGAGGGATCTCAATAATGCCGCTGATATGTTTGAGAAAAAGAACGCTTCGTTTTTCGATAAACTAAAGGAAAAATTAACAACGTCATCGTCGATTAATAATGGCGTACCAGAGGTAGCTGTAAGTAGCGTGAACGATTTGAAATGCTGGTGTACATTTAAGGCTAGTAGCATGGAAGAGCTGGCTTGCCACAAACAAACGCATCATACCGCGCTCAGCGTATCTGTGGGTACGACACGTTGTCCTAAATGTAGAAGACGTTGCAAAAGCACCAGTGATCTTCAAGTGCATATGCAGTGCTGCCATTTGCGCAACAGTTCATCGTCCATCGATAATAGTTTAGATAAAGTAACCAATTGTTCGGACATCTGCATGACTTCGTACACTGGTGAACACGCTTCTCCACCACAAATGGATTGGGACGTAAATTTTAGAGGACCAAAGTCTTTGGAATCTTCGGTATGGTGCTAGACATTCTTCATAATAATGGTATAAGTACATATACACAATTAAGAAAATTCTTGCGCGATTTTTCTCAAAGAGTATTTGTATATTATAAGATTTGACAAACAACATTGGAGTTAAAAACTTGTCCTTCCCTCCTTATACAACACAAATATTTATAAATCCTGTGTAAAACAAATGTGCGCTCTTTCTCTCTCTTTTTGACTTTATATATATTTTTAATATTTTATACCCACACACACACACACACACACAGTCGCGATTTTTTAAATTAATAATTTGCTTTCTCTTTCACTTTAATGGTTGTTGTGAATAGTTGAAATATTTATTTTTTCCGGTATAATTAAATTATTATATTTCTGACTACTATTATAGTTTTGTTGGTATTGTTAGTATTTGCGTAAGATTATGTTGCAGAAGTATACTCTTGTATATTCCGAGCGTGAGCGTTATTGACAAATTAGCTTTTGATATTTTTTTTCATTTATTATTAAGAATGTGCTTTACATATTGCATAGTGAATGTCGAGCATCTATCTTCTAATACATTACTAGTTTGTTACATGTCGTTATGGAAAAAGTTTTGTTGGTTGCGATAAAAAAAAAAAAAAAACTTTTGTCAGGTTGAAGGTGCTCCGATACATCCGGGCGGGCGACGGGTATTCAAATGTCCTCATTGTCCATTTTGGGCTTCCACCGCAAGTCGCTTTCACGTTCATATAGTCGGTCATTTAAACCGAAAGCCATTTGAATGTTCTATGTGCGCGTATCGTTCTAACTGGCGATGGGACATCACAAAACATATTAAGCTTAAAGCAGCTAAAGACGCAGTGCATATGACCGCCAGAGTACTCATGACGGATGAAACAGGTCGACGGAATTATTCCAAGTATAACAAATATCTCGCACAGGTGAAATATAATGAATCTCAATTATGTAGAATAATTTATTTGTCTTTATCTCATATTGACGTGTAATAGTATATAAAGCAATAAGCAAGTTTTCCGAGAATATTCACCTTGCAAAGGATATGTTTCAAAAGAATTTATCGACAATTCGACCATGGCGCTCGTACACTTTATCACTATTGCATTGTAATATTCATAAGCATATTCTTAGTAATTAGTAGACGGAAAATAAGGTCGATCGCGATAGAATATAATTTTTAAGGATTATGTGAAAACGTAAAATTTCATCGCTGATTTGCTGTAAGCGTGACACAAAATTTTTTGTGATTTAGTATAGTGAACATTTCATGACACATCTGATATTTTATTAAACACATTTATGTCTTAAATACTATAATTGATAATATTTACATGATGTAAATGTTCTCTATTTTAGGTAGAGCAGCAGTCATGGGATGAGGATCATATGGAAGAACGTAGTACAAGAGAAATAAACTCGGATGAACCGCCAACAAAAGTGGTGATTGTGGATAAAGAATATAGCTCAACTGTTGGTCACTCGCAATCTTCTGTTACAATTTTACCGTCGAACGAGGCAAATCAGAACAGTCGTAACGTGAACGTGAGTTTACGTCCTCCGCCACCGCTAAAGGCAGCGGTTAAGAGTCGCGGTCAATCTCTGTTGAGAAACAATCCTATTACGATGCTTACTGTTAATGATAATGGTCCGATTGCTACAGCAACAGACGAAAACAAACGTACTCAGTGGAAATGTAAACGCTGCAATTACCGAGATTGTAACAAAGAAAATGTGTTGTTGCATGTTAAATCTCACTACGAATCCACCGATCAACAGTTTACTGAAGAAAAGGTAAATTTTATTAAATAATCTTTTGAGTTCAATGGATATATATATATGTCTGACCTTTAACTGTTTTTAATCGCATTCAAAAAATTAAATCTTATTAAAAATTAGTGATCTTGTAGCTACTATTTTATTAATACGAATAAAATAATGTTTCTAGATACTCGCTGCAGAACTTTCGAATTATAATGTCACGTGATCAAACAATTACGTCATTTAATTTGTGTTAACAATTTAAATCGTGACACATTGTAAAAAAAGCAATTCTTTGATTTTAGTCAGCAGTTGTCAAAAATTGATTACTTCGTTTTGATAGAATGTCTGTGACATGATAATTTAAAAGTTTCTTAATAAAGATAGAAAAGTGAATGTGTAAAAAAAAACTCGGCGAAAACAAAAACACTTTGATAGACTGTGAAATTCTTTCATAGACTACAGTATATATTACTATAATATATATTAACAATACAAAATTTACAAAATTACATGTAAAGTATGTATATAATATAATATGTAGAGCTGTTGCAGTCTAATTGGTCGCACGGTGTAAATCATATAGAGCTGTAGTGTTTTGTGAGTGTGATCAAGATTACACATATTTAAATTTAAAAAAATGTTATTCTATTTCTCTCCTAACTTTAATTTTTCAAATTGTTTAGTAAAATACTTTTAAAGAACATTACGCTATTCAAAATTGCAAAACCTGAAAATCAATTTTTTTGACATTTTAAATCTTTTTACTTTTAAAAAGAAAATATAACACAGGTATATAAAAAATATAAATTGATAAGTATCAAAAAGCTTTTTCTTTCACTTTCTCACTCTTTCTTCCTTTTCTTTTCTTTTCTCTTTTCCTGTTATCATACATATGTATAAAGCTTTAAATTATATACTCTTATGTTTAGATAACAAACTTCTAATTCAATATATATATTTTCGCAGAATCCGTTTGGTTGTAGTGATTGTCCATTTTCAGCGTCGGATGCTGCCACTTTGTCTCTTCACAGGATACATCATCGACCAAACTTAGAAGCCATATTTAAATGCTATCTTTGTCCATACTACGTTAGTACAAAGGCGTATGTGTTGCTGATATATATACATGTATACACACACACACACATAGACATATAATATACATATACATATAATGTGCGCATATATAATATATAATGTGCAAATTTTACTTTCAATTTCATAGAGAACTGCTGGATCACGTTAGACTTCACGGGGAAGAATTAGCAGCTATTCACAAACAAAACATAGATTTCGAGTTAAGCTCCAAATGTAAACAACAACAAGTGTCAATTTCTGATGGCGGTAAGTTGATGAACGCGTTAAACGTCGTTAGGCATTTGTCCATGAGTCAAAATGCTTATGTTACAGGCGTTGATTGTTCGAAGGATGAAACTACTTTTATGGAACAAATGATTCAGATAACATCACGCAATAATGTAACGTTGGCTTCGAAAAACGCAGGAGTTCCACCACCGCCACCGTCACTCCTTCTGGACACTCGCGCTCTTCCAGATGTTCCAATGGTCTGGGTATCACGGCCAGACGGTACTCTGTCGAAAATGCTCAAGTGTCGTCACTGTCCATATGTTTCGTCTCGGCGTGCGGAAGTGCGCGAACATGAAACAATGCACGTAGATACGCCTACGCAGACTCCTTCGATCGCTTGCACGGACTGCAGTTTTACCTGTTGGCATCGAGACATCATGATCGCACATACAGAAATGCATGCAGGATCTCTGGGTACTGTTCACTGTCTTGTGGATGAAACACGACCTGATGCCCAACAAGCAAGCGATTTGGCGACTCTGCTCGGCATGACACACACTCCTACGCTAGGCACGGAACCTGATTTAGAGGAATTTCGTCTAGTCCATTGTTGCGGTAAATGTCCGGCGCGATTTCTATGCGAAAAAGAGCTGCGCATCCATCTGCGCTATCATTCTACCGAATTGGCATACTCGTGTCAATGGTGTACGTACGCAGCGCGTCAGGCGACGCATCTACAAGCTCATCAAAAAGCTCATTCGACGGAGTATCAGGAGCGCACGAAATATTTATTATCCGTGTATGGATTCTCGCAGCGTTATCCGCCACCTGCGACAGCATGCGTCGAGGCAGAGACTCAGGAAAGCAATGATGGCACATCTAATGTCGCGTGGATTGTTGTCGAGATGAACGATAATGCAAACAATTCGTACGGCAGCGCAATTACCTCTTCATTGCCGTCCGTTCAAAGAACCGGCAATTCGCAGCAAGTATTCACTTGCGCAAAATGTCCAGCGCGCTATTTCAAATTGGATGCTCTGGAGTATCACATGACGCTTCACGGTTCAAATAATCGATTTAAATGTAACGATTGTGATTATTCGTCGAAGACCGCGCAGAATCTGGTAAAACATCAAGTGGTACACCGACGACATAACGAGACCAGCGAAGTAACAACGTCATCATCTGTTACGAATGTTTCTTCTTCCGCTTCTGTCTCCGTCGCTTCATCGTTACACTCTTCGCCAGATCCGCAATTCGGTATCTTCATGCGTGGAAATCCCAACTTTGTCTATCCAGGTTATTTACGAAATGGCCGTTTAAAAGAAAAACGTTATAAGTGCCATAAGTGTCCGTCCGCTTTCGAGAAACGCGAACAGTATAGAGTCCACCTGACGTTACATGGCGCCAAGCAACGCTATCGCTGTAACATGTGCGATTATTCAGTTAAATACTACGCAAATTACATACAACACGTAAAAAAACATCAGGCAAATGCACAGGCACAGGCATCGCGCAGACAATTTGAAGATGATCGGATCTCTATTGACAGCGATAGTATCGCCGATATAGCTATGTCAAGCTCGCGTTCCAGCAAGTCTTTACGATCGTCCGCAGTCTCTATTAATGGGATTGTGACATCATCTTCCGGTAATAATAACGCATTCGGTGTTGCCAACAACAACGCTGTCCTACAGTCATCCAATCAAGACAAACAAACTCTATTGTTGATGCAAAAAAAGGGAGTTATCTCGTTAACAGGTGATGCTGACGTAAATACGATCCGCTGTCAAAGTTGTCCGTTCTTCACAACTGACAAGGATACTATGGATATGCACAAGCGTCGCCATGGCATTGACCGTATGACTCCTCCGTGTCCATATTGTGACTACATTCCGCGCAAGGATGAGAATGTCAATGAACACATCCAGCTACATTTTACGAGACTGTACAAGCCAGAGTCGTATCTTATTGTCGAGCTGTTAACGTTGACAATCGAGAAGGTCTCCATTAATAGCAAAGAGGATAAGAATGACAGTCAACGGATAAAAGAAGTCCTGTTTAAAGAATGTGCTGACGGTAGATTTTTGCCGCTTGCTGAACCGAACTCTCTATCACTAGGTACTTCTTCGATTGTGAATACTCTTAAAGAAAAAATCACTGTAGATCCAAACACAGGAGAGACTAAACATCATCTTGTATAGAGCAAATTTTTATCTTCATTTCGCGCAGACAATTATATTTGTACAAATTTTTTTATATAGAAAGAAATTGGCCCAAAATTAGTAGACAAAATATATTATTGTATAGAAAAGTGCGAGAACGTACAACGATGATGAGTATATGCATGATTGTAATAACTGATTAATATACATTGCAAAGAATGATCTCGTTTTTTTCTTTTTATATATAAGTGTATAAGATTAAGAGAGACTTATGTATTAAAATAGACATCAGAACTTATACTAAATAAAGATGAATATACAGTCCTCGCAGGAAGATTTTCTGATAAAGAAATTTCACAGTTTTAACTTCCAAATTCTAATTTTGCGAGTTTTGCAATAATTAATTAGTTAATTTACTAATTTATATAGATCCGCAAATAAATTTGTCATTCACATGAAAAGACAGTCCAGTGTTTTGCATGTTCAGTGTTGCTAAAAGCGTAGCGACATAATAGAGAGAGTTTGGTTTTTAATTTAAATAAATAATAATTTGTGATTATATATATATAATAGCCATTGCCGTTTATATGTAGAACACTTCTCCTGCAGTCAAATGTCTGCGTTACAGCTTCCATTGTCCAGTGTATTTCCTACTTAAAATATCTCTCCTTTCTTCTAAAATCCGCGTATATGCATGAAAAGGAACGCATCCTGGGCTGTTTTTACATGCGGCGTAACTTGCGTCAGCAATTAAATCGGCTCAGCCACTATGATGTGAAAAGCCATGGTATATCATTGCGCATAATGGCGGCCTAATATGGTCCAACCACTCAAGTTGTCGCTTCAAATATAGCCACAAAGTTTGATGCATTACTAATAAATATAAGATAATTCTAAACCTATTGTCACATCCTACATTCCTCTGCTAAGGCCTTGTTTATCCAGGCAATAACCGTTAACTTATTTATTTTACGCCGGAATTGGTAAAGTTCAATTATAAGATTTCAATGGCCTTTTAGTTTATACACCGATCGTTTAATACGCGTATTAAGTACTATATTCGTATTAAATCGGCTCGATCTCAATGTAAACGATATCATATCAAGCTGGTACGATACTTTTTAAAGCACATTTAGGGCCGGTTGTTCCACTTTCAGATAAACTATCGGGTAATCTATCTAATGGTTAAAACTCTGATTTGCATTATTCCACGTGTCGGTAAAATGTTTATATATCTGGTAAATGACCAAAAGATAAATTACACGGCACTTTCGATACTTTGCAAGTTGTATCTAACAGATAAATATGTGGAAATAAAAAAACAGTGGGAGATGCGCTAGTCGTTTTGAGACACAAAGAAAAGCATTGACATTATTGACACAACGCAGTTATGGATCAGATGATTGCTACAGGTAGTTAGTACGGCCCTCGTTGGCGCTACTTACTGCTAGGGAATACTCTTAAGGGCCTTCTGCAATGAAATATTAGTAATAAATCAAAAGTCAGAAGCAAGAAATTGACCAATCACAGTCAAATCACAGAAAAATAATCGATTGGTCAATTTCTTCCTTCTGACTTCTGATTTATTACTAATATCTTATTGTAGATGGCCCTTAAGGCCGAAGCACAGACTCTGGATGATTTAAAAAGCTGGATTGGTTGATTTTCTTATGTCTTAAGCCTGTTCTACATTGATCGCAAGCGCAAACGCAAGAAACAGATCTGGTAGAATTGACTAATCGTATTGATCAAATCAGCCAATTGACCAGCGTGATTGGTCAATTTTACGAGATCTATATCTTGCGTTTGCGCTTGCGATCAATGTAGAACGGGCTTTATGCGCTATGCGTTATGCAAAAGTCTGTGCTTCGGCCTTTATGCCGCATGAAAAGGAACAAGAACATGTGTTGTATAACTGAATCGAACCAGTAGCTGCGTTCAGCAAAATAAACTGCTTTGTAACAATCGATCATGATTGGCTCTTATTTTTAGAATTAACAAATCAACATCGAGTGTTGACAAGACGACAATTCAGCAATTGTTCTGCTGAACGCGGCCAGTGTTGGCAATAGAAGACCGGAGAGAAAATTTGAATCAATAATCATTATGACGGTATCGCGCATGACAAAATTATTTTACAATTTGCGATTCGTAAGGTTATGATAATGATGGAAGATCAAGTTAATTTCGTTTGACTTTTCTGGAGTTTACGTCAAGAGAGAATTATAAGCGTCGAGTACGGTGTTTACGATTTTTTCAGCAGACGACACAACAATGTTCGAGGGAGCTATAGCGGCATTTTTAAATCGCCTTTTAGGCAGATACGTAGAAGACCTGGACACGGAGCAGTTCAACGTCGGTATTTTCTCCGGGGATACATGTCTAACTGATCTCAAGTTGAAGCCGGAAGCTCTGGTACGTGGTTTCTATTGAAGATTAATATTATTTGAAAGAAGGTGCAGAATGTGTGTGTGTGTGTGTGTGTGTGTGTGTGCATGCATTTTGCAGTATAAAATTTAAAAGATTTAGTATATATGTATACATATATACACATACGCGTATACATGTATATCTAAATGTTAAATTTTTCAAATATTCTACTGTCTAAGTGTACACATACATATTCTGTACATTTTAAATATATATATATGTTCAACAACTGTTATTTATATTTAAATTAGATACATACATAGCACAAATAATTTTACTTTGTTAATATGTGTTCAATATCTTTGTAAACTATATTCAAACTTCGTAATATATTTTTTTAATGTGTTATACTTTTATTATTATATTATCTTTCAAAACATATCAATCTTTTTTTCTGAAAATCATTTTGTATAAATAATAGAAGTATACTGAAAAAAAGATTTATTATATTTACATATTTATATATATATATATATTTTAGTATCAGTTGGGATTACCTATTAGAGTAGAGATTGGCTTGATAGGAAAAATTATTTTGAAAATACCATGGTCTGGACTCTTTTCCCAACCTATTGTAATATGCATAGAGGTATGAAATAATCTGTATATAATTATCTGTATATAATTACTATAATGCATGTATATGTGAATATTTATATATCTCTAAGGACATATATGCAGTAGCAGTACCTGCATTATCTGGCTCATATGACAAAGAGATACAAAAACGTTTGATAAGAGCAGAGAAAAAAAAAATACTTGAGAATCTCAAGAAAGATGAAATATTTAGAACAGGTAGTTATAAATAATTAACAAGTGGTTATAGATTTTATTTGGTTAGTACATTATTCATTACTAAAATGTTCTATTGTGTTTTTATTCATAGGTTTATCTCCTCAACTGTTTGATGATCTACTAGCATCAATTACAAAGAACTTTCAGATTACTATAAATAATGTACATATTAGATATGAAGAGAAAATTTTACGGAATTTTCTCTGTGCCTGTGGTATATGTATACAAAATATATCAATAACAACTACAAACAAGTAACTTTATAATGTATATTTTTTACATTTTCTTTTCATTTCGTATGTCAATAATAGTATTATCAGAAATAATGAATTCCAGTAAATGGAAGCCTGGAGTATGTGCAACAAATTCGCAGACAGTATATCAGCTTATACGTGCAGAATCACTTAGTGTATACATGGACCACGATACTGAATCGTGTTTAAATGTTCAAAATAATTGGAGTATGCCTGATATCCTTGCATGGAAAAGTGCAATGTATAGAGCCCTGCAGACATTTGGGATGAAAAACAAAGAATTTCAGTTTTGTATGTATATATTTGGGAATATCACTTGTTAATTCTCTCATAAGTGTCACTGTTAACTGGTACACTTGTGAAAAAAATATTGTAAGTGCTGTTTTGATTTTAATTAAATTCTTTTTGTCAAAAGTGTTAAAGCCTTTTACAGCAAAAATCAAAGTCATCATACACAAAGGTACAGAAACGCAAGCTTCTCGCATGTTAGTCGATATTGTATTGCAAGATGTAGCAATGCAATTATCTGAAGTACAATATGCTACATTTTGTCATATTTACGATTCTTTGATGCGTGCAGTTGTGAACAGGTAAATTTTTAACACGTTTCTTTTTTACATATTGATTTTGTGTTAATATATATTTTAAATAAATTAATAAAACAAAACCAATTCAAAACAATTTGAAAAGATATATGTTATCTCTGCAGACCGCATGCTAAATATCGTCCTGCAAAAAGCGTGTACGAAGAACCAGTATCTTGGTGGAGATATGTATATAATTCTGTTTTGGATTATTATATTAAACCGTATACTTGGTCACATATAGCTGAACATAGAAGAAAGTATAAAAAATATAAAAATGCTTGCATCCAAAGTTTGCAACGACCAAATGATACGGAACTTAAATTGGATCTACAAAAGTACGAGGATAATTTAACAATATTGAATATAGTAATTGCTAGAGAGCATGCTAGACAAGAATTGAGAAATAGAGATATTGAACAAGAGTGCCAAATGAGTTCAATGAACAATATCATAGGAGAAACTGTATTATCAAGTAAAGATCAAGTACAGAATACACCAGAACAATATAACAAAGAAGATCGAAAGTCGATAAGTGTAACGAACAATTTATCCGATTCAAAAATAATAAAATCGGAAGTGCAAATCGGTAAAATCAATGTTCCTTTTTTGTTTATTTTGTTTTTATTTTGACAATTTTACGTTAAAACATTAACTGAGAGCTTGTAATTCACTCTTTAAATTTGAGTTTTATTACTATAGAAGTAATAAAAGTCTAATTCCTTATCGTTGTTTGTAGATTACAAATTGAATCTTACTTTAGCAAATTGTTGTCTGAGTCTTTTAAGTAAAGGCAAAGAAATGCTAATCGTAACTGTCACACAATTTCTGACAAGCATTGAAACACGGCCTACATTGTCAGCTTTCAAGGTATCTGTTCGTGCGGAAAGTCTTGTAATTGAAGCTATATCAATCGAAGGTGATCTAGTTCCTTTGATTACAGTAGACAATGTGTTAACTGGTAATATGCTTATTTCTTTATGTAGATACACTTTATACTTAAAAAAGTAATAATTCCAGTTACATGTATGTTTTTTTTTTTTTTTTTTATGATACAGGGAACGTGTCTACATACTTTTTGGCTATAGATTTTGAAAAGAATGGACTAAATGTGGATCCTATTTTTGAAATATCGATAAAGTTGGAAACTATTGAAGTGACCTATCATCAAGTAATTAAATGCTCTTAAATTAGTGCATTATTTTAAGCCTAAAGAATATTACATATATTTTAATTTTTTAATTAGTAATTCTTGTGTAGAAATGTAAAGGAAGAAATGTACGTAAAAAAATGTACTTATAATTTTTTTTTCAGTTTGCTATGGTCGAAATAATAAATTTCTTTAAATTTAATACCAGTTACATTCATGAGACAGTTCTCAGAGCTTGTAAACTATGGAATTGTGTCAAAAAAAAATATTTGAGCTTCATAGATGATGTTTTATCACAAACATTAAGAATCAGTTTTAAAATAGACATCAAAAGCCCGTATATTATATTTCCTGAATACGGGTCGCTTCAAAAGTATGTTGTCTTTTTTTAATATATACATCTCTGATTGTGAAATTAGAAAAGGAAATGTGTATTGCATGTAGTGAAATGTGTAGAGAGAGTATGCATGTGTACACTCGCGCGTGCGACAAACATATGTATGCATGTTCGTACGTATGTTTTCAAGTATCTATTTGTACAGAGGAGGACATATACTTATTCTCGATCTGGGTAATGTAACGTTAACCAATGAACTTCAAACTATGAATTTGCAACTGGAAGATGCCACTCTCATGGAACTAGAAGAATTACTCTACGATAGACTTAATGTGGTGTTTTCTGGTGGCCAAATTTTATTTTGCCATTCAGGCGACGATTGGCGTATGGCGAGAAAACGAAGCGATTCCGAGTACCATTTGTTACCAAAACTACAAGTAAATGCGACTCTTTCGTACAGTATTAGGCCTGAGTATCGTCAATTACCACGGTAATATGAAAGTATTACATTGCAATCCTTCGCTATGTGTCATTTTAATCACATAGAAACAAAACTTGTTATAATTTTACAGAACAAAGCTCAATATTCACATCTCAAACATGAAGTTTAATCTCACTGAAAACAAACTGCGGTTAATGACTTATTTTTTAAACAAATTACTAACATTTTATGAAAATAATGTTGGGAAGTATAAAGCTGCTATAAAAAGTTCTACCGAATGGAAATCAAGTATTGTATTTACTTCAGTCAAGAAATTACTAGAAATACAATCCAGTGTATGTCTGTCTTCTGTTACAATATTACACAATGATTTTAAATCTGTTGTGAAACAAGTTGTCACAAATAGTGTACCAAAACTTGACAGGTAATGTACTATATAGAAACATTGATGATTAAAAGAGGATTCCGATTTAGAACGCCGAAAGTAAAATAATTAAAAAACAGTTTTATAAAACAATAAAAAGATATAATCAAAATGGAGTTAAAGCAATATTAAATTTATTATATATTTTTTATTTGACATCAAACTTTTATAGAAAAAAATTAAATATTGTCTAGTATAGACTAATTCTCCGTAAAGCCGTGCGACAAACTTTATTAATGACATATTGGTAAAATAATTCTAATTTTAGGAGTGTTGTCTCTTCAGAAGTTAGTGAAGAAGACTTGGAATTATTATCTAAAACAATTAATTTGTCTGGATTTGATGATAATATATCTCCATGTAATCACATTAATTTGTTACTTCGATTTGCCATAGGAGAGGCGAGTATACTTTTATTAAGCTACATCTTATATCGTACGTGAAAATAAACGTATTGCTTTATTTATATAATACCGATTTAAAATTAGTTCTCCATAAATCTGGAACATACAGTCGACAACCGAGACCAGCCTTATTTGAATTTGAGATTGCACACTTTATATTACGAAACCGCTATGATGGAATATGGTGTTGCTGTTCAGTTCGGCATTGGATCTATTCTTTTAGTCGATAAGACAAATGCTGGTGTTACAGGATCGTATCTAGAACTAATTTCCACCGACGAGTCTCACGAAGTTCTCATTGTGTCGTATCGCAAGGTAGTTTGATTAAATTAATAAGAATAATACAAGAGTTGCAACTAATGTACAACATTCTATTGGACCTAGCCGTCTCACATTACGACAGAATAAATCAAACAATAGCTCAAAATTATGCATTGAGTTCGTATTCCGAAGTAAAAATTTATATTTTTATACGCAAAAGACTGACTCGTTGTGTGCGCGACTCAGTCTTCCCAATTTAAACTCTAAATATCGAATCATTGTTTTTTGGCAACAGAATTAAAAAGTATTATGAGCTCATATATATAACAAATAAGCAAGAACATACATAGCTAAGATTTACGAGCTCAAACCTCATAGACGTTTCTATGCCACTTCAAAGTATATACGTTTAAAGAGAACTATTAAATTCTGCGAAATCTAATCGTGTAACAATATTTTTCACAAATGTGATACGATAAAAAAGTATATTATAATTTTCAAGCTTTATCCTCAAATAATATAAAAATTCTATCTCTTATCCTTATTTCTTCTTGTAATATTATTTTTTTTTTTCAGGTGAAATCAAATTGTCCTGATTTCAAGTCGCACTTCAAAAATATTGAACGCTTGCTGATTGTAAACTTGTTAAATATTAATATAAACTTTCATAGATCTGCGTTATTGAAAATAAAAAATCAATGGCACAAGTTTGAAGAGTATGTAAACTAATTTTTATACAAAAGATAGCTAAATATTAGTTTTTTTACAAGTATAAATATCCTACATGTATGTACAAAACAACTAAACAATTTGGAAACAAATAAATTTAACCCTGATTTTTTTTAGTATATGTCACTGTACGCTTTTATCTAAATTTATCGAAAAAATATATAACAATGTTACAAAACGAGAACAACAAGACGTTGATCCACCCATTCCACCAGGTATATATAAATACAATATATATATATATATATATATATATTATTGAAAAACAAAACTGTTGATTATAGTAGTACATAAATATCTGACATATTTTGCAGGTGCTATTAAACTCAATTACTCAACTAGACTCAGCTCACTAGTGTTACGATTCTGCGATAAGGACATAGATTTAATAGAAATTAAGATTTTAGGTTTCGAAAATAATTGTATTTATAATGCGAATGAGAGAATGGTGTTGCGCGCACATCTCAGAAGTATATTCGCTGAAGACTTAAATGATGACACACTTTATTCAAAAGTAATTATTTGAAAAAAATAACATATATGCGTGCGTGCGTGTATTTTTACATGACAACACTTTTATTTTATTTGAAGATTTTGACAACGGACGAAGATAATGTTTTCGACCTGAAATACGTAAGACACACACCAAAATTGTACAGGTGTTCAGATATTGATACAAAACAGGATGATGTGATGTCAGACGGCACTTTTAAGCTTTCCGTTGGTCGAATAAATTGCGTGATTATTTCTAAACTTATGTACGATTTACAGGTATGTGTGTGCGCGTGTATGAGAGAAGATAAATTCTTTTCGTTTTACGCATGTGTTTTATGTTTGTATTGTATTTTAATGTTTGTGTCATAGAATTTCGTAAGACCATTTACTTCTGTGTGTTATATACGGCTTTTAAAGTATTTGGAAACTAAATTTGTCAAAGGAATTGAAGTTTTTAAGAGAAGTGCAACAAAATTACATATTTTTATTGACGTACAAGGACCTACTTTTTTGTTACCTCAGAAAAAGGATGCTCCGAGTTTGTTGGTTTTAGATACAGGTAGAGAGAAACATATTCAAGAAACAAATAAAATAAAATAAGACATTGGTAGAATACTTTTTTACTAGATTTTATTTTCAGGTATACTATCGGTTGAAAACTTTTTTAAGAACAGTAAGCAACCAGCATCACAATCGATCAAGACAGCTGGTAATGATGGCAATCCATTGATAATTGATAACATCTTGATAAAATTGAAATCTATGACTATATCTAGAGCAATTATGACTCTAACTCGAGATTTAGAAGTTCAGGTAAAAACGTAACACTTGTGATGTGATAGCAAAAATTATAAATATGTATAAATAATTTCAGGAACCCATTATTGAACCTATACAAATACAGTTTGACATTAAGAGGAAAACAGAGTTTCGTAGTATCATTGATTTTCAAACTTACGGTTTATTTAATGTTCAAGGAGCTATCGATATTGTAAATGTAAACTTAAGTCAGAAGGATCTCAAATCCTTGATATCTGTGTGGCAAGATAACATTTCTAAGATACCGTTGTTTAAAAAATTTGACGAAAATGACGATCGAATTTCTGCACAAGATTCTCAGAAGTTCGTCAAAAGTGACGACGATGTTATGGTGAAAAAATTGGAGAATTTCTTGACTCGCAGTGAAACAGCTTTATGCGAAATCAATGTAAAACTTACACTGGAAGGATTGCAATTGAATTTATTCATGGACACGGAAGAGGTAGAACTTTAGTCTACATTAAACTACACATGCTGTGTGATATTAGGTTTTATTTACCTGTAAATTGTGTTGAATTATGTTACAGGTATTGAGTTCTCCTGTGCGCGACTTGAATCACGGTTTGTGCAAGCTGAGCTTTGGAGAAACCATAAACACTTGGGACTTTTATAGCGATAGAAGTTTGAAAATGAAATTATCTTTGCAAAACTGTTCGATGCAGGATACTCGTAAAAACTCTATAACTGAGAAAAAGTTTGTATTCTACTCTCGTAAAAGTTTTACCTTTAAAAACTATAATAAAATACGTCGACATCAAATTAATATAAGTCTCGTTTTATGTCACAGGATAATACAGTCGCCGGCAATATCATTGGAGAAGAATTTCGAGTCCTGCATTTCGGTATCGATGTCTCCTATAGTCGATGTCACATACAGTCGTACTCAAGCAGAGGAAAAATGTTTCGATGTTCTTATACAGGATGTGCGAATTAATTTGTCTGTTCTTTTCTTGATGAATTTGGCACGATATTTTCTGGATTCTTTACCTGGCGAACAAATAGAGAAAGGAATCATCAATCACGGATATGATAATAATAATCAAACGGTAACTGCACTAACTAATTACTAAAAACATTTTTAATATCTTTTATATATAGATATATATATATATATATATACGTACATATATTTATATAATTATCTTTTTATACACAAATAAAACTATCTTTCAATTCTTTATTATTAAATTAATTTCATAAATGCATTTAAATTAAATCAAGAACCGGAATACTTTAAATACGGAAATTGACAAATTAAGTCGTTCCAAATTCCATTTTAAGGAACAACCAGGTATTTGATTTGTATGCATGCATATGTTGTGTATAAAAATATTTTTTCTTATTCAGCAAGATTAAAAATATAAGTTATTGTGCACATGCCAAAAAGTATGTGAAATAGATAATTGTAACATTGTTCTGTTTAGGTACTTCTATATCAATTAGAGTACAGAAGCCGGATATCTTTTTATTCGGTGATTTAGAGAAGAGTAATACGCACGTGATACGATTGCAAGCAGAAGCATTCGTAGAAAGTAGTAGACATAGTTGTTCCTCTTCTATAGTCTACATCCTGACAAATGTCAATATCAAAACTAAAGGCCAGGGAAATTATGAATCTCCATGTTGGCTGCTACGTCCGTGTGACATGGAAATTTGTAAGAAAAAAGAATTGTCGGATGGTAGTGAAGAAGTCAGCGTTACCATAAATAACGTTAATATACATTTATCAGCGGAAGTACTCCACACTTTTACTGATGTACATATTACGATTTGAAATAGATAGAAATATGATTGTAATAAAAAATGCACCAAGTGATTTTATTAAAAACGATTTATTTATTATACTAAGTAATCTCCGTTGTTTTCTATTATTTTTTGCTGTCGTACTTGGTCGAAAGAATAAATCGTTTTTAGTAAAATTATTTGGTTAATTTTTTCATCATGAAATCTATCAAAACTTTTATAATCATCCAATATATACGTAAATAATATCTAATATATATTCAAAACACGTTTCAGATAGTGACCGAAGCATCAACTTTTCTGAATAATCTTAACTCGAAAATGAATAACGGCAATATTAATCAAAACGTTAACGTGCACAATAATCTTTGGATACCAATGAAAGTTTCTAGTATACCTTATAAGAAAGAGGAAGGTAACTATCATGTGTGTATGTAAAAACTAATCTTTTTTTAATGTTCACTTAAAATGTTTCGGCATCATTTGCATCATCACGCATCATCATTCAAAAAAGGTTTTGGAGAACAAGAGTTGTTTGATTTTAACAGAATAATAAAATAGCAATGACCTTTTTTTGGCCTGACCTTGAGTGGAATTGCTTTTTAAACAAAAAAACCTATATTTTTATTAAAATAAATAATATAAATAATATTTTTATTCTATTTTTATATATTTGTTTTATTTTAGCTAATTCGGAACAGTGTAGTTATCACAATGATCGTGTAATATTCAATTTGAAGCCCGTACTAGTATGCCTATTATTAGAAATGGAGTACTCTGTTGGAAGATTTCCGATAATGAAAGTAGAAACTGTCATCACTACTACTATTAACGACTGGTATAATAATTTTAATCTTGAATCAAACATAAAACTATACGCATTCTGCTATAACATAACTCATCAGAAATGGGAACCGTTCGTGGAACTTTGCACAAAAGACGATGTAAATTATAAGCCATGGGAATTGATGATAAAGGTGAGATGTTTCATTCTATTTTGCATTTTATATATGTATTATTACCCGTACATATATATATATATATACATATCAGGTTTTACATACATTATTATTATTTATTAATTTAGCTTTATATGCTCATACACGATTTGATTTTTTCTCAGACGTATCGAGGTGAAACAAATATAATTAATTCTAATTGGACAGATCATTGTCATCATATAAAACAAGATTCAGGAAAGACGAAAAAAAAAGATATGAAGCATGACGGGCAAGATGTAACGGATATGATATTTGTTGAACCTGATGCCGATACAATCTTGTTGACAAGAAACAAAGGTCTTAAATGCTACTTTCTTGCATATATTTAATTATATATTTATTTATTTTTTAATAAGAGTAAGAGTTTTATTTTTATTTTCCTAATAAATAGGATCTGAAATGTATATCACGTATGAAGATGAATCCGATACGGATGACGACGAGAATGATACAAAGTTAGCAAGAATTTCGAATTATCTATTTAATAATAGTAGCGACGATGAAGAAAGTGATGATTCCGATAATTCGAGTACAAATGAGGAATTGGAATTAACGCCAGATTACAATTCTGAAGCTCGTATGTAAATTTCACGTGTCAAAAACGTTTGTTACATGTTTATATAATATATATATATATATATATTTTTTTTAATGTATCATTGTTTTTATATAGATAACTCTTTTCTGCGCACGCCAGCAAAAACAACTCTTTCAACGCCGCATATTGTTCTGTATACGGAGGATAAAATTAATATCACTATAACGCAAAATATGATTACAGCGTGGAATGCAATTTTGAGCGCGTTCACACAAGCAAAGGGTGGAATCCCGTTCGTACCCATTAATACGCGGGAATTAACTGTATTAAATGACATAGGACACGCGAGTCGAGTAGAGCTGCTTGTTCAAGAACAAGTAAATAACATTTCCACATTAGAGTTGAAATTATATTGTCATTTATAGTAAAATGACAAGAGATTGCGCGCGTAGTTATAGTAGTTTGTTTTTACTTTTAAATATGATGACAGAACTTGAACTGTTTGTAAAGAAAATAACTTTATTGCATCTTATAGATTTACAACTTGAATATACTTCTAGGTAGGCGAAAAGAATGTCACACACGTCGTCACTGCGCATAACTTTCACGATAGTAATTCACCGATCAGCGTTCCTGGCAGCCCAGAAAATGAAATTCAATCCAATCTTACTAGTCCTCAGTGGACTGTTAAAGAGACTACTACGCTCATGCCAGAATGTAAAATATTTTCTACTGACTCGCCTGTGCACATTTATAAATCAATAACCAACGAACTTCTTCGTATTGTTTTTGAAGGTAGGTTTCAATCTTTATATGTATATCAAGAGTATCACGTAAACACATAAACTTTATGATATATAAATAAATGCAGAGTTTGAAGATGTACTGATATATTGCCCGAAAAAAGAAACGTGCAATCTAGTATCACTGCGTCCTGTAAAACACGAAGTTCGCTACTACTTGATAATAGAGGCGTCAATAAAAAATCATCTACACCGTACAATCTGTGTGCGATCACCGTTACAGGTAAAATACAAACTATTTCTCTATCCGTTGTATATTCTTCTATTTGTTATTAATAAGGAAAAACGCGTTTTAGTTTCGAAATGAAACATCGTACGCTTTGGGACTTTATTATAAGAAAGCAGTCTTAGATAAACTAGGTCTAACACTAACTGGCGAAACCACAAATCCTTTCGACGATAATGTAAGAATAGCGATTGTTGAACCTGATGTAACTTACAATGTACCTTTGTATGTCGCTTATCATTGTCCGATACACATACTTCCTACGTATCCAGAGTGAGCAAAAGACATTAATTACAGATCTATGTGTGTAATTTTGAATGCACGTAACATATTGACAAATATATTATATTTGCAGACAATATCAAGTGAGTAACGTAGGGATTTACTGGAGAGACTTGAAGGGAAATACATTTAAAGACGTATGTTGCGAAACTAAAGGCGACTTTAATCGTAATGTATTCTGTGTCAGGGCGGTATGTACGGAAATCCCGCTAACCACTCGTCCTTCAGGCTGTCAAGTACCAAATTACTTGATAAATATCATGCCGCCCGTTGCTTTTAATAACCAGTTACCCTTCGTTATAGACGTCAGTATACCTGATATTAATTATGAAGTGAAAATCGAACCCGGAGAGAAAATAAACATGCATTCCTTGAATTGCAACAGTAATTTGCAGTTTATTTTCAAGGTGCATATAGAATTATTTTTCTCATTTGAAAGACATATTTTATAATACGTGTATCGCGATATACTACTTATTAATATTATATGCAATATTTTAATGAATATGTTTATACAGGTATTCAACTATTTAGGTACATCTTGGATAGGCGCGGTAAAACTTAACATGAATCTGGAACGAAAATTTGTGTTAATGTCTACAGATAATGAGTCGGATTTAACAAAGCCTTTTCTATTGTGCCTGGAACTGTGCAAAATGCTTAGCTGGAATATCATATTACAATCGCAATATTGGATAATAAATAAGACAGGACTGCCCTTGTTTATCCAGGTAAGCGGAATGACAAAAGTTTTGGTTCTTAATGAAGATATACATGATGATTCCTTCGTTCTTCTTGTTTTTTAGGACTGTCATTCTCATACATCTTACGAGATGCCAGAGGAAGAGTTAATGGTTTTTTCTCAAAAAAATAAGAAATCCATGGTGCGAGTAAGAGCTCATCAATCTGAATGGTCAATGTCATTCGGACTGGACGGGATCACGTCGATGTCGTTGATAGTATGTCGAGACGTCGAACGCTGTCGGAAATATCAGATTTTAACGGAAATAGAAAGTTCCCGATTGTCGCCAATTTTTACAAAAATTATAACTTTTCTGCCGTATTTTTTTATCTTCAACAATACCAAAAGGGCTTTGAGATTTATGGAGGAAAACGAGGAAGCCGATCTCTGGAATGATCTTTTGCCTGGACAGGAAATATCGTTTTGGCCGGCTACGGAACATATGAAAATGAGAATAAAATGGAGGAACAGTCAAGTGGTTTCTCAGCATTTTGATATTACACATGTGGGAAAGACTGTATTAAGAATGGATAACGGGGTGAGATTACAAGATGTAGTAAATTGATAATATTTATCATAAAGATAGTAGATACTCTTTTGATCAATGACGTATTTTTCTGTTTAAGTTATTCTTTTTTTTGTAATTTATAAAAGATTATAAGCAAAGATTATTTATCTCATTTACAGTCGGCATTGTGTGTGGAGATTGAGGGCGGCGTCAGTACTCCGTACCGCGTAATGTTCCGAAAATACGTTATCGGCGACATACCTGTGAGAGTGGACAATCTCTGCGATAAACTATTTCTAAAGCTGAATCAAGTCGGTTTAGGTCAGGTTGTTTTACTTAAACCATTCCAAAGTTTGCAGTATACTTGGGATGATCCTGTTCAACCTAGAAAATTGATTTGGAATGTTTACAACAATAACGCGGTTGGTTACGAAGCACAATTCGAAACGGTAACGTAAAAAAAGAAAGAAAAAAAAACAATATCGAAAGATTCTTTTTTTTTTTTACGTGTATCTTTAATATTTTCAACATTTTTTGTTAGGATGGCTGCGGGCACGAAAAAGTGTCCTGCGTAACCGTCGAACGATGTGATAGCGCGTCCTTTTCCGTCATTTCTACATCATTAGCGAACGCGAAATCGTGGTCGGAAGACACAAAAGAAATTGTCAGTCAATTTTCCACTACAGAATCCGAGCCGAAACAAGTATTAGAGCACGTGCGACAGGATGAGGTGGAAGTTTATTGGGTGAGCTATATGAACGGTGAACAACGTGTGTTATTATTTACGCAGCACGAGAGCATATATTTAAAAGCCAAAAGCGTCATTGATCCTGAGATAAGCAAGAGGGAGATATTTCTTTCGATTGCGGCTATCGGAGTCAGCGTGGTACGCCAATCGCTAAAAGTAATTCATATCCTTTATAAATTGGATTCTATACGAATCGACTTTTTTCTGCTTTAGATCGTACAAGAATCGAGTCTTCATCAGGCTAGACGGGAATTGTTGTACGCCAGCGTGATCGACTCCGCTGCTCATTGGGAACTTTATTTCAGCAAACGATGGAGAAGTTTGTCATTGGAATTGAGTGCTTGGCTAGAAAATAAGTACACGAATTTCGCGAAGAAGGTTCAGCTAGAAAACTTTATTGACGTACGAGTCGGCACTCATTCTTTAAAAACTATATCATAATTATTGATTAATAAACGCGATGAAGAACTATTTTTCGTTAAAAACCTACATAAAACTCGCCAAGTGTTTTGTAGAATCAATATTTATTTATTATCTCTTAGAATTGTTTCATTCATTTTATTGTTTAAATATCAGGATAAATAAATTCTTATCTCTCTGATCGTAATCCTATTTAGATACTTTGCAGGTTGATCTTATGAAAATGCAAATGACCAAACCATTTTTCGGTAAACTGCGAAGAACGTATTCACCAGGTATTTGGTTACATTGCAGAGAATCTACGATGTTACGTTACTTACAAGGATATGTTCACAAAATACAAGTACGTATATGTAAATGTAAATTTATCACGTCTTTGAAATAATAAACTTTTTATTGTCTCATCCAGATTGATAATCAATTGAACGAAGCTACTTTTCCAGTAGTTTTATATCCCAGTTTGCAAAAGACTTTTGTGAATCATGCCGGAAATCGCAGATTAAAGCATTGTTTAGAGTTTTCATGTCTAAATCAGCGTAAATTGGAAAGCACTATTTACAAGTACATATATACCAATTAAATCAGTATCGAATAATACGATTTGTGAAGATAGTACTATAATTGTTAAATTAATTTGATTGTTTTTTCTAGAGGAATATGCATTATTGTTAGAGAGTTCAATTTAAATCTAGAGGAAACTTTCCTCTGTTCGTTGATCAATTTGATACCCAAGATACCGGAAACTAAGCATACAATTGCCGCTAAACTCCGGAGAGATGTATCCAATATGCACGTTACTTCGGTTCACAAAATCAGTAATGTAAAATCTCTAATGAGAGCTATATATTTATTTGTGTGTATAAATGTGTAGATTTTGACTGATGCACGAATATAAACCGCAGAATGTGAACAACAGAAAGAAGGATATAATAGAGCAAATATATATTTCTCCAATGGTAGTACGCTTGAAGCTTTTGGCTAACACGGATGGAACGCGCAGTTTCAGTAATGTACTTGATTATCATAACGTTCTTCGATTTATTTTTGAATATGCGGAAAAGGGTACGTTTGAGAAGGACGCTGAATTTCGGTTAGTAATCACGACAATCTGACAAACTGAAGAGTGTGCGATAATTATCTCATAATTAGAGTTTTATTTTCTTTTTTTTTGCTTTTACTTTAGATTGCCTGGCTATCAAAAGAGTTTTATCATAGTCAACAACGAGCAGTTTTTCATGCGTCTTTTACGGACTTACGTGGCACTAATTATGGAGCAGTTTCATGTATTGGTACGTTTAACTACGGTGTTAGGAAATCAGTACGGCTACAATTTTAAATTGTTAGAAAGCAGCTTTTGTGAATCGGATTTAGTAAGTAAAAAGATTTAATAAAAACAATCTCTCACCATATTTTTCGTGATTATTCAATTATTAATTATAATGAATTTGTAGTTATTGTTGTACGGCGATGAAATTGCGGAAAAGTTAGCGTATGACGTCGCGTGCAAACTGGGTTACGTTACGCCCGACAGCATGCAACCTACAATTTTAAACAACTATGATCATCATACGTTTCGTTCCAAGGTACAACTATATGTGTGTACTATATGTGAATATTCTTGCTTCTGATATTATAAGATGGCTAATATTGAGTCTTAATAGTTATTAACTTATAAAGAGAGATCCGAGAATGAGCGGATAGTACATTCGCTATTTTCTTTCTAGATAAAAGATACGATCTATCAGAATCCTGATGTACCGCCTTTAGCATTTGTAATCAACGATTTATTCGCTACGGAAATTGAATTGGAAACTTCTGGCTTGATTACTACGTCGACAAACAGTGAGTACATATGAGATTACTATACGGCGTACAAATCGTAAATAATAGTCTTAACAAATGGATGTGTAAATACATAGTGTCTACTTATTTTGGAAAACATATTTGTTTAGAGAGATTTTTGTCAGACAATTTTATTTGAAATTTCAAATTGCAGGCATTTATCGAGAAGGATTACAATATTTCTTTAAAACTTTGGGAAAGAAAGTATCTACATTGTTCAAGGAGGAAAACTGTTCTTTAAAAGCTCATTCAAAAGTAGTAACAGATATAATAAAAAGGTACTTAGACATTATTTTTTTTTTTTGTGTGTATTGCCGTTTTGTTTTTAAATATGTACTTCTCTTATTTTAGAGCACAAGAAGTAAGACATAATTTCGTATCTCGGGTGCGATTGCCGCGGTATATTAACCCTCAGTTCGTGAGTATTGTCAAGATGCTGACATTTGTTTTTCGTCGTTTGCATAAAAATTTAGTAATCGTACATATGGTTATTCAAGGGTGTGGAACCGTTTTCAACTCATAAAGCAAAAGGAATGTATTTATTAAATACCATAAGTAAGGGTCAGTACGTTCACAACGATTCTTATTGGGGACACGCTGTAGTCCACAATGATGGAAAATATATTACTCTCATATCTTTGCAGTAAGTTCAACAATAATTATTACAAGACGTTTTTCTTTCACACGAGACTTTTTATCAATAGATTTAGTTTTATTACTTTATAAAGTAAACGATATCTAGTTAGAAACATGATACTATATATAAAAAACATTATAGTTAAAACTATTATATAATACAAAATTTCATTTTTTTCACAAATATCAGTTTTTTTTCGCGTATAAGAGACACGAAGTGCCCTGATAATGTTTTTTTTATTTAAGAATTGTATCATTTTGTTTTTCCATTTTCTTTTAAAAGTGCGTATTTTTATCAAATGTGATTAACTTTGTTAACTTTTAATATCGTAATTTTAGAAGAAAAGTTTTAATTAAAAGTCTTTTTTAGCGTGTTTTCAATTTATGTTAAAATTTTAATGAAGTACCATTACAAAAAAAAAAAAAAAAAGTTAATCTCCACTATCTGTTAAAAGAAGAAAGGAGACTTGGAAAATGAAATTTAGCTTGCATGTGAAAGCTGATTTTTAACAACAAAATAAGTTACAGTTAAGAACATTACAATCTATTGGTCTATTTCACATTTATTTTATTTTAATCTACCCTGTATATTATTATTGTTTTTATTATTTTTATTACTTTTCAATCTGGAATAAGAAAAATAAATATTCAAATTTCTAGGCGACTACATTATATTGAAAAAGGAAGCGCGTGGAGTTCGTGGAATGTAAAATGGACTTTGGAAACAAATCAATTATTGTCACCGCCAACCATTGCTAAAAACAAACTTATTTTGCACATAACAGAGGTAATCGTTGTACTATATTGACAATTAAGTTTGCACGATTATATTTCTTTTTTGTATTAATGAATAACTTGGGAAAGAAAATATTATGCCACGTAAGTCACGTAACACTTGTTGCTTGTAAGACTTGTCGATATTTTCGCGGCCATCTTGGATTAATGATGTCGAAGCGCGGAAAATACGCGAAAGTTTTGTGCACTTCGTATAAAAATAAAAAGATTATTTTTGTTTAAACGCAAATGGAAATCAATAGAGCACACTTGAAAAATATACCGGAAATTCATCTTTCGGTTCAACAACATAACCCAAGCTGCGCTATCGAAACATGGACTTATAATACACAAGGTTTGACAAATGCCTTAAATTTTGCGTTTCTCACTATAAATCACACTTTGAACCAAATTTCCAGTATATTTTATTTACAGATATGCTTTGTCAAATACCTCTTGATTTTTAGTTAAACACTTTTGTTTCCACATTAAGTGTACGAAACTTTTGCTACGTTTTTAAGAGCCATTTCTGGCCGCTTCGTGACGTGTGATGTGACGGGCTGTTTGTGTTGCTTAATTTTTTTTCTTTTCCTTTTCTTATCGAAGTACAAATATATATGTATCTATCTTAATTCTAAGTGCAAAAAGCGTAAACAACGCGAAAGACTTCGTGCTTTCTATGAGTTTCTCGCGACGACCGACGTTGCTATTTGGTAAATCGAACTTGACGCTCGGGTATTATAAAAAGCCCTATAAAACAAATAAAGATAAATAATTATTCTTTAGAAATATATCTATCTCCTTTACGTTACCACATTGAGCCTAGAAATAATAAAAAAAAAAAAAAGTCATGAGAATTATTTTCTGAATCTGCATGAATCTGTAAAAAAAGAAGAGCTTTAATAAAAGACAAACAAGAGACAAATAAAAAGTTCTAATATTAATTGCGCTATAAATTATTGAACTTAAGTAAGAATCACACATTACAATATTAGCCGCAGACCGAAGAAAAGACATTATCTATGGTGGATTGGTATGTGGAGAGCGAAGCAGCCGATATTCTGGAGTGGTTGTGTCGCAAAGTAAACAGTGCAATGATCTTCAATATGGAGAGCAGCATTTGTTCCAAATGAGGATTTCTAATATCGTTGATTGATGAAACTACTATAAAATGAAATTAAATCGCAAAAGCTAAAGAGATCAGTGTATTTACATATTTAGTTCGGCATAATAAAAGTTTATGTGATGAATATGCAAAACAATCTTTTGTCTAATGCCCTACAATTTTTATTATTATAATATTATTATTTTATTATCTTGTATTATCGTATATCTTGCAAAGTCAGATCGCATCTTCGTCTTCTGGATAAAGTACGTCTAGTTTATTTCATAATTTATTTACAAAAAGTCTTAGTAAATTACACTTACAGGCATCTCCACTCGAACTAAAGTAAATAATTTAAGAACTACATGTATTTAGATATCTATAGAATAGGATACTTTGGGGTCGGGGAGAAGCTGGGACCAGGGAAAGTGTTCTGTGTTGTATTTAACTTATTTCAATACGCTTCTAATTGTATCTTCGCGAGAAATTGAGTCGTTTAAATAGTTACATACATGTCGTATGTGGAAACTAAATCTTCTATCTTTCTTAAATTCATTCTCTCTATGAAACGAGGAAGTATATCAGTGGAAGGTGTGCAACGACGAGTTTGCATGCGTTTCTTTTGTTGTTTCTTTTTTGTAACTGTTGCGAACTGTAGATGTTCGTAAAAGTGGGATTTTATAAGATAATTGTATGTATCCGTAAGAATCATCAAAATATGTGCAAGCTGACAATCGGTATTTTGTTAGTTTTACAATAATGTATGCGCGCTTTGAAAAAGCATAAAATCTTGGTTATAAATATATTCCCATTAGAATCGTTTAATGGCACGATCGAGCTTAAATTTAAAAATCTTTTTCTTCTTATAGTATATTTTTTTAATATATTCGATTCTACATTATCGCCCAGAACCAGTTCAATCTGTTTCTACAATGTCAGTTTTCTTATTTTCTGCTTCCCTTTTTTCTTTTTTGTTATCACAACGACGTTTTATTTATGTTTATAAATATATGTATTCCAAAGACTGCAGTTAGATCAGCTACTTTCTAATCTCTCTCTGCGAAAAAGAAAACTTATGAGAATCAAAGAAAAAATCATTAAACTCCGTTCGATGAAGATTTCTATAAATTGTTTTACTTATTACTCTGTAAAATCAAATAATCATCAAATAATTTAAGTGATTAAAATATTTTAATTGCTTTTTGTTTCTCACAAGCTGTATTCGCGTTTTTTTTTTTGCTTTTTTTTTGCTTTTTTTTACAGACACTATCCCCACCCCTTATTCTACCAGCACCCCATCTTTCGCGCGTACATACTCACGTATACATGCACGCAGCTCTCTAGTTGCCCCCCTCCCCCCTTCTTTCTCTCTACACACAGTCATCTTTTATATTAATACACACATATACACACTGCATTCACCAAAAACTATGCGTTTTTTGCATTCATGTAATTTCATACGCGCGACATTCATGTCCTTCTCATACGCACACGTAGGCAAATATGGGCTTCTTTTATCTCTCAAATATCTTTCCTTTTTTTCTTCCTAAACATCTAATATACACATACATACATGTCACATGCACGCAACAGACACAAATATTTAGAAACATTCAACGTATGCACATTTTTTCTTGTTTTTTTTTAGCTTTCACTCTTTTATCTCTCCAGTCATTCATTCATTCATTCATTCATTCTTTCTTTCTTTTTCTCTCTCGCTCTCTCTTTCTCTCTCTCTCTCTCTTTCACTTTCTCTCCCTTTCCTTTCTCCCTCCCGCTTTTTCTTCTTTCGCTCTTTCTATTCCTTTTTCCTCTTGATCAACAGCTTTATCACACAACGTATTTTTTTCTCTTCTAGCAATGTCTTTCTTCAGTTCTAGTTCTGCCTGTGCTTCTAAAGTCGAGACTTACGGCTCGCAAACATATATTTGCGCCATCGTACATAGCCGTAGCACAAAAATCGAATAAGATTCAATGGAAGTGTGTGTGTTATCTACAAAATATCTTAATTACTCGCTAATTACAGCACAAAACATGCAAATATAAAAATTTGCATTATATTATCGTTATATTTATAATCATCATTCGATATATCGTTTTACATCGCACCATTAAGGTTCGCCGACATACTTCTTGGTATATATATATATATGTGTATGTGTGTGTGTGGGTGTGAGTGTGTGTGTGTGTGTGTGCGCGCGCGCGCGCGTGTATTATGTGCAGCCGAGAGACCGTTATTTTTTCGAAGTCCATTCTTCAATGCTGCGTGTGTACGTATGCGTGTGAATGTGTATGTTTCTGTCAGATGCGTTGCATGCATCTTAATGTATGTGTATATGTGGATTAAGTGTAATAATATATCTTTGTAGATATAAGATTGTGTGCCTGTGTGTGTGTATGTAGATTTGTGTACGTGATTTTTCTACGTGTATCTTTTTTCTTCATTAACTATGAAATATCTTACACTATCGATATTATTCCAATTCACGAAGGGGAAGGTATACCAATGGGCGAAGATCGCATCGGGCATACCTACACGCTAACACCGATAATTAAACTTTCTTATATATATATATATATTTGTGTTTAATCGATATAAAACTACAATTGCGCTGCCATGGCTTTCATCAGCACTTTTGTTCCTTCACTCATGCGCGCGCTATCGCGCGTCGCGCGCGTCTCTTCGTTTCTTCCTCGTTTCTCTTTCTCTTTCTTTCTTTCTTTCTTTCTTTCTCTCTCTCTCTCTCTCTCTCTCTCATTATCTCCTGTTTTCGTCTCTTCTTCTGCCTTGAATACACTCGCGACCAAGCGTTCTTACACGATATATTACCAATCACAACGTAATCATCGTACTTTGCTTATTTCGTCATTGTCATTGTCATTGTCATCGTCATCGTCATCGTCATCGTCATCGTCATCGTCATTGGTCGTCATAGTCGCCGCCGCATGTAGTTATCGTCGTCGGCACTACATTAACATATTCGCACGAATAGTATAGTGTCTCAACAGACGATACAATAGAGAGTTACGTGCCTCTGGAACACTGGAACAACACACGTGCGACTATCGCGGCGACTTGCTGATCTAAAATTTGACTCATCACCAAAGCAAGTAGACGGGACTCGTGTTGCAAGAGAAGAGTTCGGTTATCCGGATGCCTGGCGAGGTTGAGCAGAGTCCCAGCCGCGCGTCGCAACATATCGAGGCTAGTGCCCATCGACTCGGGATTATCGCGCAGGGCTGCGATACCATGCTGATTTGCGACACCGAGAGCGCTCGACTCTGCCTGTTCGATGAACGCAACTAATAGCGCGACGCACGGCGTTTGCAGAGCGATGGTGCGCGCGACGCCGCTATCCGCGGCCGAGAGAAAGTGCAGCAGATTCACGCCGAACTCGCGCAGCACCTGCTCTTCACTGCGGCAAAGAAGCCTAGTCAGTACGGAACATAGTCTCTGTAGTCGAGAGTAGGGCGGTGTAGCGACCACCAGGTCAACGTTACACTCGGTCACGCATAACTTGCACAACGCTTCGAGCGCAAGTCTCTGCGGTGAGAGAGAGGAGTTCGGTCCGACGGTCGGAAAGGGATCTTGGCCGTGAGCGGCCGGACATACGGCCCAGTGCAGGAGACCGTCGAGCACGGGTCGCGAGATCTCCTCCGGATGCTGGCTCAGATCCATATGGCCAGATATATTGGCAGCCATCACGAGTACATTCTCCCTTACGTGATGCAGGAAGTCCCACCACCATTCGCTCTCTCCCTGTAAACTACTGCACGAATCTGCAAAATCTGCGTCTTCCTCGCGATCGTAATTGCGTGTCTTCTGCGCCCGTACCGGGTGCTCGTGGTGCAGCAATAGCAGCTTGCCGAGCAAACTGAGAAACGTGACGTTCTTCGCAAACTCTGCCTCATTGCCGGGAATAAATGTAAGATTTCTTAGAATCGTTGACAGGCATACGCAACGGCGTGCCAGGTTGTCTTGTGTCTCCGTGACCAAGTAAAGACTTGCTTCGTCCCTCGAATAGCTCTCGTCTTCGTAGTCACTTATCCTCCGTCGCTTCAGCGTTCCCGCTGGATCTCTTATCTTTAATCTTGGTCCCTCCTTCTCGTCTCTCAGCTCGTGTTCTTCAGTTGTTTCCGTCTTGATCTCGATCTTTTCTACGCTATTGTTGCCCGCTGAGGCAGCTGCTGCGACCGACTCGTTCAGTCCATTCTGCGTCGGTAGCGGCGAGTCCTCGTCGTTCTTCGACACCTCGCTGCCGAAGTGTTCGCCCATATTGTTATTCGCCTTTGTTATCTCGTTGTCGCAGTCCTTCTTAAAACCGTCATTCTTCTTTTCGAACAGCTCTCTTGTGAGATCGTTCATTTCTACGGGTTCTTTTTTGATCCTCGACAGTACATCACTCAGAGTCTTTGTTTTCTTTTTTTTGTCCATCTGTTGTTGCTGCTTGCGTTCGTTGCTCTCCTTGCCGGACTGTTTGTCACTCAACTCACCGGATTTGTGAGTTAAGTCTAATGTCTCGTGGACACTACCTACGTTATCCGCTTTAATTTCTTCTTTTACATCCGTGCTGTCAACTTCCTTCTGCAGCAATGGCGGCTTTTCGTCTCTTAGCAAACGGGCGAAAGGCACCGAACCCACCTCAGACTGAAAACACGTTACGATATATTTAGTTGCGTTCACGTCGACTTGCCACGGCTCGGTCTCCGGCTCACATTCCTGATGATCCCAAGGCCTTCGAGTATCCAGAACAAAGAGATCATCATCTCGGGGAACGATCTTAACGGGACGACCTCTCCTCGAAAGATACGTGTAATTCGACGTTGACAATAATTTCGTCCGATCTTCCGAATCGATTGGTCGTGTCACTGCACCGAGATCCACTTCTGGACCGTCCGCCGCTTGGCAATAACGATCGTCATCGTTCACACATGATTCAAACATGTCGGAGAGGGAACGCGAAAAATGTTCCAACAGAACATCCAATAATCCGGGTAAGTGTTGTAATCCGAAATAACTTACCTAAAAAGAAATCAAGAATAATAAATTAATTAAAAAAAAAAAAAAAAAAAGATCTAAATTTTATATACTTTTCTTTCATAAAAAATATAAGCACAATTCTAGTTTTTTCACTTTTTTCAATTTATTTCTATAACAGTGCTAGTGCTGTAATTTCGTAGTAACAGAGAAAAATACTTACAGAAGAGTCATCAAATAACAAAATGTTTAAAATATCCAGAGCCCAGCAGCTTTCGGCGAGCAGACCTGATCGCAGAGCCATCATAATGCGCCAAGCTTCAACTGGCGCTACATCACTGCGCGTCAATTTTCGTCGCTTGTACAAAAGAGGCGTAACCGCTTCTATGCTATCAGGAGGAAATGTCATTTCTCTCTTTGATGTTGGTTGCTGGCTAATCATAGGATTAACTCCAAGTTGATTCTGTACAGAACAGAATAATGTATGAAGAAGAGAGAGAAAAAGAGACGGCGAAAAAAAAGAAAAAAAGAGATCAAAATTTAAAAAGCAACACTTGTGTTAACAGAAGAATAAAAATTGTACCTGATGACTTCCAGGTGTTGGATACAAAGGGGACGGTTGATTCGTGTAGCGATGATCCCACGGTGGAGGAGCGTGTGCTATAGCGTTCAGAGACGGTTGAGATGAAGATCTGTTCGACTGTTGACTGCCCCACTGTTGACTACTTGTCATACTGCCAACCGCTGGAGCTGCCGGAGCAGAAGAGCCAACTTGAGCCGCTTGTTGTTGTTGTTGTTGTTGTTGTTGTTGCTGTTGTTGTTGCTGCTGCTGTTGTTGTTGCTGCTGCTGTTGCTGCTGTTGTTGTTGCTGCTGCTGTTGCTGCTGCTGTTGCGACGGCGATTGCGTCTGCTGACTTGGATACTGAACTCTGTTATTTCCACTATTACTATTGTACTGATTAGTTGTATTTGGCCATCCTGTTAAAAAAAAATTACATTAGCTCATTGAAAGACAGAAACAAACACAAAGGGAAAGAGAATAGGAGGGAGAAAGAAAGAGAGGGGAGAGGAAGAAATTATGAGACGGTGGAATTTTGACTTTTGTTCATATTTAAACTTTTTTCTTCCAAGATAACATAATTTGTCAAATTTTTGTTGTGTTTTACCTGGATACGCTGGTCGTTGCTGATTATACTGGGGATATTGTTGGTCTTTGGTAAAGTCTGGGTGACGTCTAGGTTGGCTGGGTCCCGGAGGAGGCGGAGGCATATTTTTGTTACCCGATCCGCTCCCAGTATATATTTGAGTTCCACCAGGAGCTCCATATGCACTCTGCGATGTGATAGAATTATTGAGATATTGTTAACTTTCCCTACATACTGCAGAACACATTCAAAACTTTCTAATTTTATACAGAGTTAAATGGAATTTCTTATAAACGTAAATAATGCTATAATAAAATGTAATTGTTAAGATACCGATATCGAGTCAAAATATTACTTGTTCTTGTCGATAGTAATCTTGCGGACAAGAGTATGAGGAAGCTGCTGGCGGTTGCGATGGCGAAGAAGGTTGGCTGGTCGTTGTTTGTTGTTGCACGGTAGCCGGATGTGTTTGAGGTCCTGACGGATAACTGTTACTCCGCGCGGGAGGTGTTCCCGTGGGATAGTTAGCAGGACCTTGCTGACCGCTACTATATCTGTTGTATATATCTTGTCCGGTAGTATTACTGGGCGGTATGTTACCACCTGGATATCCCCTGTACGCGACAACACATGTAAATCACATACTTATACACGCACAAACACATTTCGCTAATTCGGACCTCAAAGAAACAAAAAATAATTCAAATTAGAATAATTCAAAGAGATTCAAATTTAATTTTTGACAATAATACACGTATACATATTAGAATGGATAAAGAAAAACAAATTTAAAGTTATAAAGACTGTTTTTGAGATATGAAGGTAAATTTGGAAAAACTTCGAGTTGTAGAAGTAAATTAAAGTAGCTAATAAAAGTTTTATCTACAGAATTAATACAAATTCAAGTAACGAGGTTTGACTCTCTATGTCTATGTGTACATATATATACACATACATTACTGCAGAAGAAAAAAAGAACATCTCGCATACACACCTGTCAACATCTGGTACATATGGAGGATAATGCGATCTAGGAGAGTACGGTTGATTGAATTCTCCTTGCTGAGATAATGCATTTCCCTGTGGCCGAATATACTGATCTTGTGGGTAATTTTGATAGGAACCTGTGTTCTGGTAACTGCCTTGCTGTATTCCTTAAGGTACAAAAAATCACATTTGTTTGTCATCAAGTCTTAAATAACTCGGTATCAAGAACACACACACACACACACACACAAAAATAAAAAAATAAATAAATAAATAAAAATAAAAATAATAATAATAATGTTTCAAATACTACAATATGTATACAGTAACAATAAATGCAAAAAGAAATTCGATTATAAATATAGAGAGAAACAAAAAGAAAAAGAAAAAAAAGAAAGATAAAAAAAAAGAGAAAAAAAGAGTTATAAGTGAAATTACAAGTATTATTGAATATTCGCAAATTGTATGAGATATACCCTGATGAGCAGAAGGCGCGCTACTTTGGCTCGGTGGTCTAGGTGGTGGCGGTGTGTATTCTGATGATGGACCACCACCAGGAGTACCACCTGCGTAACTGCTCTGATAGCTTCCGTAACCGTCCATAGAAGCGTTGCTCGATCCAGCAGCGGGAAAAGAATCTTGAGAGTTGGAAGAACCTAGAAAAAACATATTATTGTCTTTGAAATAAACGTATCTTTGATATGTTTGTGAACACATCTACGTCTTTGTAAAAAAACAATATCAAACGCAAAAATCTTTTACCCGGCGATGGTACGGAAGCAGTTCCTTTAGATCCCTTTTTCTTTGAGCCAGCTTCAACTTGATTGATGATAGGTTGTGGATCCACACCACCGCGGTCAAAATGACATTCATACGGCAGAAGATGTTTTGTATAATGTTTGCGCAAAGTATAAGCGGCGCTGCTGCTCGCACCGATACCCAGCAGACCTGCTATATCCTTCCATGTTTTGTTTTTCGTCACCTACAGGAGAAAATTACGCACAAGCGTTCTTTCACTACACTGCGAAAGTGCGATTTTACGTTAAATCTCACACACACAAACAAAAACTGTGCATGTCCAAAAGAAAGAGAAAAACGCAAAATAATACAAAAGGCATCATCGGATTTATAGCTCGAGATATCGATCTCCAAAAAAAAGAAAAGAAAAATAAAAAGAATTATATTAATATAATGTATCAAAACAATAAAAAAATATTTCTAACCGCATGCAAATAACGGAAGAACGAGAGAAATATACTATCGGAACGAATTACCGTATTATTGATATATTTTGACATTAAAAGTTTATCTTCGCTGTGCGACTATTAGAATAATTCCATATAGCACCAAGGTTTGTAGATCAGGGTGTTTCCATAATTGACTGTGTTGAATGACTACTTCAAGAAAAAATATGTTAAGCCTTTTTTTCTCTTTTTTTTTTTTTTTTTTTTTTTTTTTTTTTTTTTTTTTTTCACGATTTAGACACAGAATACGAGAAAGGGATACTAGTAGCAAAATCAGTACAAGTATATCATGCAATTCAGCGTAGATATAAAAAACAAAGCATTGCGTTCTGAGGTGTGTTCCGATATAAATCGTTTAAATTCCAATTTTAAATATTTTTCGTATCAAAGTTTTCGAAGCCAATTCAATCTTTACTGTTTATTCTCTCAATGTGAAAATTTCAGAAATATTACAAAGTCTTCGAGTTGTCGAGTACTGACATCTGAAGAGTACTCGACATAAAACACCTCAAAAATGTACAACAGCAAGTACAAAGAATACAAAAATACACATAAAAATGTAGAAAACTATGTAAAACACCAAGGGCTAGATGGAACTACACTGCACCTTGCATACCTCCATGAAGCCCCCCCTCTCCTTCACGTAGAGATATAGTCGAAATAGATCGAGGGGGTTCTTGGAGATGGTAGGACAACTGGTGATCGGTGTTCTTCGTTCTTCCATAAAGTTGACAAGCTTGTCCAACCAGGTTCTTCGTTCCATTGAATCATCCATTTCGTATAACTTTGCCAGACTATCTGGCTTCTGAAAGTTACACGATTAATTATTCTTCTTTAGCGCGCACAATATTTCAATTAAAATCTTATAAATATACAAATTAAATATTTTATACTGATCTAATAATATCCTAAAACACGGTAAAACATAAGATCAAGTAACATTTTTCAAAAGTGCGACATACTAATTGCTACTAAAAAAATTAGCATGCACAAATACTGAACTTAATATTTATACATCTTCATTCTACGAATTTTTCAATCGAGACTATCCTCAGTACGTTCTTTATTGCTATTATTTGCTAGTATTTGTGAAAGTTACTATAGCTTTCTTCTTCCCCCAAAAAAGGATATTCAAATAACATATTACGCAATAAAATACTATGTGTATTAGATGAAATAATATTAAATAATGCCAAATAATATTGAATGCATACAATGATTATAAATTTCTATTGTAAAACAGATAATAAAAATAAAATAGAATTCTAACTTTGTAAAATACCAAATACGAGAAAGAAGCGTTTTTTAAAATAGCAAATATAATTGTTTATTGTAATCTGTGGAAAATTTTTGTAACATTAGTAGGTAAGTTATATCACTTCAATTAGACGTTATATCATACTTTTTTTGCAATTTTACAAAAGCTCAATATTTTATGCAAATTATTTCTATTTAATAATTATTATACAAGATTGACAAGAATTACGTGTTTTTAAAAATTTGTTTACTGTGCAAATAAGAAATCAAAATTATAAAAAATTAATATAAAATGTGATCTCGAGGTATTAGATACTTAGTGTAGGATTTATGCATATGGTATTATCGCTAGATTATGTATAAGTATATATTATTTCAAGCAAAAAAATAAAAAAGTTAGTTTGGAAATAAAAATTGTTTAAAGCACATGAAAACCGACAATACAACAAATATTTATAGAGAAAAAAACAATAACCTTAGATCTGTATGGGTCTTGAGGCACATGACTGTTAAACACCTGTAAAATATTAAAATATTGAAGATTCAAATATGTTTGCATTTGTCTCTGAGATGTATTCGGTTAAACAGTTAATTAAAACGTCAGAATACGTTCTCTACATATGACCTATAAAATACGTACAGGACTAGCAGGAGTACGCGGCCAACCAGGACTATTCATGTCAGAATATTCCTCATGAATCGAATTAATGCTAGCAGCACCGGGAGACGGTACTGTACTTTGTGGTGTCGCGGGATGGCTATGATACGTCAACATTTCCTTCCGCACTTTCGGCGTAAATGCTGCATCTTCACCAGAGGCTGTTCATAAATACACTTAGTTAAAATATAATCACAAAATACTCACAAAACGTTGGATTATCCCAGAGCACGATGTGTGATAATCCGATATTTTGAGATTAAAAAACACAAAAGAAAGATGCGAAACATATAAAATTCACATATCAATACTAACCAGCTGATGCGTTCGACAATGTTGACTGTTGCGAGCCTTCATCCAAAGACGTACCATCCGGACCTGTTGTTATTACAGACGTCACAGTACCACTCGAAGTAGATATGACATTTATAGCTGACGTACCTACGCAATATATAAGCAACTTTGTTACTTATTTTAAACATAAAAAGACAAAGAGAAAAGCTGTTCAAAATAATTTGTATTTACCTGAAGCGGTTGTGGTTATACCGCTATCGTTGGAAGTCTCCGCTGCAAGATCCGCGGAATTGTGGCTGGTCGGAGTCGGTGCTGATGCAGGATGCGAGTTCGGTGTGGTACTCGGCGGTGGCATTGGGCTGCCCTCGTGATTAAGTGGCGGAGTGGCAGCTGGAGTATGCGGTAAATGCGGCACCGCCGAGCTAGTAGGCGGCGGTGGTTGGTTGCTTATATGATTAGGAGACGGTGGTGGTGGACCCATAGAACTCGCTGGCGGTCCCATATTGCCAATAACTGGCACTCCCGGAGCACCAGGTGGCACCATTGCACTCGTAGCACCAGCACCGTAAACTTGAGGCGGTCCCGGGCTCGGTGGCATCCCTGGTGGTACATTGTTAAAGCCCATCTTATGCTGGAAGCCAATGAAGAATATATAAGTTTCGATCAGCGATCAAGAAAATCAATTTATATATTATTAATTAAAAATGCTTATTACCGTGTACGGTGGATATTGTACCAAATTATTAGGTCTGTTAGGAGGTTGATACTGATTATTGGGTGGTGGTTGTGAATTTGCAGGTGTTGGATATCCCTGGGAAAATTGCATATGAGGACGCGGAGGATACGTGGACTGCGCGTGATAACCTCCTGGCTGGCCCGCAGCCGTTCCACCAGCATAACCCATTCCACCACCCATTGGACTTGGAATCCCACCAAGAGCTGCCGAACCAGGTCCTGGTTGCACTATACCAGGACCGGTGCTGTTGATCTTGTAGCTGTGTATGTGTGCTGAAGAACCTAATGGTTGTTGGTATGCTCCTGAGAAATCATTTCATTATTATTTAACATGGTACTCTGTAGTAAGAATAAAGTTCAAAAACAAAACATAAATAGAAAAAAAAGTAAAACTTCTGTACCTTGAGTGGTCATAGGAGAATGACTCATGCGTGGTGCTGGCCCACTACTATCCGATTGACTACTTGACGGACGTGGAGGCATCTGAACGTTTTGTGTGCCTGCACATTCAAGAAAAAATTTTTTAATTTAGATAACATACACTTGCACATGCACATACACATACACATACACATACACATACACATACACACACGCACACACACTTTTAGAATAAAAAATATATATACATTTTTGAAATAAAGATAAAAATTTCTCTATAATACGCTCAAACATATTGTCTTTGATATTATAAATATCATAATATAAATTTAATTATATTATGATAGACTACATTATACAATAAACTGTTTAAGAGACAATTGTACTATAACTATTTTTCAAACACTATTTCAATTTTGACTCAGAATACTTGCATTATATTGTCTGCAAATTTGGATACTAAATACAAATGTAAGTGAAAAAAGAGAAACAGACATAAAAAAGACAGACCAACAGCAGGGGACATCGAGCGAGAACCTGTGGATCCTGTAGGTGACGGGGTAGGTCTCATCCCCTGAGAATTTGGTGTTCCTGGGCAAGCTGGTCCATTCGAACTGTCATTACTATTCTGTCCTGATAATTCCTGCAATGCAAACAAAACCATCGATAGATCTAACCTCTGTGTATTTAAAAAGTTTATAATAAAAGCTGTTGCAGAGTATTAATATATTCTAATAAGTCAATAGCTTTATTTGCCACTCTAAAAGTAAAACCTTGGATCTGATACATTGTATTTGTGTGTGACTTTAAAGTTTTGCAAAAACTTTGGCATCTTTTTATTTCAAGTATCTATTGATATGTCTTATAGTTTATTTAACAAAAAAACTTTTATATTATTTCTTTTTACTGATCTTTTAAATGAGATTTGAAAAGATGCTACATGCCATAGACCTATATGTTCAAAATTAAAGTTCAGTTTATATATTAATTTTTTACAAGTACATACAGTGAATTGTGTCAACTTGAGAAAGAGAGAGAGAGAGAGAGAGAGAGAGAGAGAGAGAGAGAGAGAGAGAGAGAGAGAGAGTTGCAGATAAATATAAATAAATTGAAAAAAAAAAAAGGAACAATATTGTGTAAAATACTACTTTTGGACAACTAGCACATATGCATCAATTAGCTTTGAAACATCAGATGTAACATTTCAAACTAGGTCAATGTTATGATAGATGCTCACTCCAAACCTAGAAGGAAAAATCATTCACTGTTACAGTTGATGTCAAAACACAAACAAATGAATACTGTTGTCAACATAATTGTAGTCTTGAAAGTCTTGTCGAGAAGGCTATTAAAAAATTGACAAAAATGAAACTATTGTAATTCTTTGATCGTTGAATTCGTGAACAAAAAGCTCTTGTGTGAATAATAAGTCAATTTGTTAATATCTACATCGCACTAGCTGCCAGCAGCAGCTCTGTGTTAGTGGAATTTGCGCCGCCTCCGTGGCGACGATGTGTCGATTTGCAGTCGGGTGTGCTCTCACCGTTACAGATTAAGAGCAATAGATAATCGCGTATTTCTCGTCTCGAAAATCAATTAATGCCAATATTACAACAGCCGTCCAAAGCAACCGCGGCAAGTAAACCGACGAGAAATAGCAACGGCGATGTCGCCCATATTACTCGCGGCATTTTACATCGCACAAATGTCTTGTCATACTATCTCCCGTATTACGAGCGGTAGAAAAGGTGGAACCCGTTGTTGTAGCTGTGATGTCCGTTGTCGCAACGATGGCATGCGGCGTCGCGGCCACAGTTCACGAAACACAACACCACCCCCGTGATGTGTATATCTCCGGTCGAAATCGTGTGTGCATGTGCCCGCGTGTATACGCACTTCTTACAGATCGTCTATCACACAACGAGCATCACGGCTGTATGATGTGCATGTGTGAATACTTTGCGTTGTGTGTGTATGCGTGTAACGAAGACGAGGTGGAGAGAGGAAGGAGGGGAAAGCGAGCGAGCGAGCGAGTGAGCAAGAAAGAGAGGAAGAGACAGTGAGTGTATATCTATATGGGATTGGTAGGGATATAGAACGAGAGGTGAGAGGTGGACTCAAAGAGAGGGAGATAGAAATTAGGGGAGAAAAGGAGAGAGCAGAGTGAGGGCCAAGAGGAACGAAAGAAAATTCAGGCACATCGTTTCACCTACCAGACACCGTATAGTTGGTTCGTGCTGCGGATGGTGATTAAACACTTCCTCAGACGTACGAGCGAACGTACGGTACATAGGCCGTTCGACACAAGGACTCTCGGCATGACGCGAAAGATCGAAGGAGAGGCGTTACCCGGCTCTCCACTCTCTCGGAGTATAACGAATAGTATAATAGTAACCGGAGAAAGAGAGAAAAGGCGAACGAATGAACGAACGAACGAACGAGCGAGTGAGAAAAGAGAAACGGAAATGTAGGTGCTTCGTAGTTATGATTTCACATGTCCGTCCGAATCACTATTTCCGAGGAGTGATATGAGAGAGGAGACAAGAGGTGAACAAAGAGAAAAAATTCTTGGTGGAATCGTTTTGGAGCGGCGCGAGAGAGAACAATCGGAGGAAGAGCAGCAGTGCCGTGTACCGGTAAAACATATTCTTGGTTCGCCGTTGTTGCAGCATCGTCCTGGGACGAACCTCTTTCTTTCCCTCTCTCTCCCTCCCTCCCTCCCTCTCCCTCTCCCTCTCTCTCTCTCTCTCTTCTCTCTACCGCGTCGACGCTGTTGTTCAACCGTTGTGCTTCCTCGCTCTACGTCGCATGTTGTCAACCAAGTATGCCAAATAAGCCTTCCTATCAAGCGAGACAAGACTGCCGCAACTTGGTTTTGAAACACGTTAGGATTACGCAGTAATAGTGTCGCGTTTATCACTGTCGTCTACGTACTCGATACGTGCAAGCGTCTTTCGTCTGCCTAGCTGCGTGCACGAGTGCACAAGCAGGTTATAATCCGATCTCGCGACAAGCGAACGTAATACGTTATAGCAACCGAGCGTCACGTTTTTCAGCGAAAAATGATTCTTTTTATCGAGGTCGTGTGAGACTTCGGTTTACAGATTTCGCGTCTAGCTGTGGCTGACTCGGTTGGAGGGCGTTCTTTCGTGGCGCGGCAAGCGTTCGGCGCTACTCGGTTGTTTTCGCCGAGTCTCGAAGCGAATATACACCAGCGAATCGTTCTCAAAAGCCTATCTTCTGAATATTCTCTATCAAAATTTAATTTATAAATACTCTATCAAAATATAAAATTTATTTATACAACTCGGAAATATATATATGTATATATATGTATCACCAATTCTTTGTGGAAATGTGTCGCTGTATTTTTACTTTAATAAGCAACTATTTTTACTTTTGGTTTTGTTAGTGTTATGTAATAATATAGCTGAAAAACATAAATTTAAAGATCGTTTATAAGTCGAGAAGTTGACATTTTTTCATCCAAATCTATTGTCAGTTGACATTTGCATAGATTGCATTTGGTGTAAAAATATGCTATGCGTTTTACTCATACATGCAACGTTTGTAGCGCGGTAAGCGATCGGCGAACGTCGTGTAACTTCGGTTCTTTTCGATCAGCGAATTCATATGCCTCAATAAAGCCTAAGGGCACGAATCGTGTTGATGCGATTTCTAAAACACTATGTGTTCTACTGTAAAAGCAAAATTATATAAATTTTTCATATTACAAGAGAATTTTATAATAAAAACTCTAGTATCTCTTTATTTAAAAACAAACAAAACGACAAAGACAAAATGAAAACTTAAATTTGTAAATCTTTCTTTTACATCTGATATAATTTACACAAAATGTTCTCGAAAGATAAAAAAAAGAAAATTTCTTATTTTAACACTAAAACTACCGACTAGTCAAAATGACTGGTTTTAGATTTTTATTTAAAACTTAAATTTATGATATTGCATTTCAGAAATTTTTTGACTTTTTTGCAATATATAAAGAATTAAGTCTACCAATTTGTTATTAAAAATTCCTAAACTGCAAAGTCATTAATTTGAATTATTTTTAAATAAAAAGTTACCACCAATCATTTTGACTGCTTCGGTAGTTCTAGTGTTAAACATTACATAATCGGAGTTTTTTTATGTGTATTCAGATCGATATATCCAAATTAACATAAATCGAAAGACTATCTGATTCATTGTCACCAAAGTCACGTGGAGTGTTTACGTTATCGGTTGTCTGAAGTTAATCCGTTTGCTCGAGCAATATGCACATACAAGGAAAGTCAGTATGTTAGAAAGATCCGATCGGTTGAGCCGGTCAAGCACAGACCATGTGCGTGAATGAAAACGTAAATAACAGCGAAAAACATTTATCTTGTAAGTGAGAGAGATAAAAAGAGAAAGAGAGAAGATAGAGCAAAACGTAAGATTGCTCATTATATTACATTAGTTTTATCTATTATACACAACGTAATGTTATTATATTATCAACTCAATGACAATAAGCAAATCCAAGGTTCATTCAACCTTTGAATTGAGAGTGAGAGAAGGAAGGATATCAGTTATCGCAACCGATCATCAAAAGTACGCGATAATATTACTAAACTTGCAGGCTTTGATCTTGATCTCTTCACGATGATCAAATGTCACAAAAGCTTTTTCTCATGAACGACACAGAACATTAAACTCGTCCAGATTAAAATTTTTAACTTTGATACGCATTATCAATTTTCTTATTTCTAATAAACTTACTTGTAGCAGACTAAATACCACGTGTTCCATCAGAAATTTACATTGGATCGTCTGCTACTATTCGCTTACATAGTTTTATGTAGCATACATACTCGTCGCGAATTGCGCTCGGTCAAACTGATATCTCTCCAAGTTTATTGATATTACGTCAATGTATCGTTTCATGTCATATACTTGCAACCGTTCATAAAGTTTCCCTCTATTCGCAATCATTTACATCAAGGATTTTCTCAACATTTCTTGCAATTACTTTTTACGAGCCGTAATTTTCACCTGATTTTTTTATGTGAGATGTAAGAATTACCTAATTATATACGTGTGTGTGTGTGTAAATTCTATTATAAAGAAACATTCATTCGAGAAAAATATGTTAAAGAAGTTTCAATTTTTTGTATATATTTTTAGTTTTATTTTGTAGAAAAAAATTTAGTAGAATAAAAAAATTTTTGTAGAACAAAATTTTAGACCTTGATGTACAAATTAATTTCGCGAAAATATTCCGTCGCTTATAAATATTCTATCTATTCGTTTTGAATTTTGATGTAAATCTAGCTCGCCAAATAAATTGAGTACGGGTTTTTTTGTTATTTTGTAATGCTTTTTTTATACAAGATCACGTCATGTCGGAACGATATGACGAGTACCTAAGTAATCGCTATAACAGCACCGAGAGCGCATGTACTTCGCGAACGATTTGCACAGTGAAAGATTGCGAACCTCGCCTTGGTGGTCTAACGAATCAATGATGTTCTATTTCTCTTGAGCGTCTCTCGCGAGATATATTATCTCGAAAAGAAGAATCATCTCTCTTTTTCTTTCTTTCTCTCTCGAGACACTCAAAGAAAGCCAGGATAATAGCTAAGCAGAAATGCTATACTCTGGAAACTCTAGGCGTGATTAATCCTGTAATAATTGTGGAATGTCATCAACCATATTCTTTTCTTTTGGTCTTTTTTTCAAGTATTATGAAGTATTCACAAAATAATGCAATATTTTTTTATTTCTATATTCGATAGATTGAACCATGCACTGTAAAAGTTCTCGATAGCAGAATGACAGTCGCATGATCCAACAAACCGAATATAGTTGAGTGCAACGCAAAACGTCACGTTGCGCGTAGAAGTGGAAGAGGGGGAGATATCACTGCCATCACCACCACCACCACCACTACCACTACCGTCGTCGTCGTCGTCGTCGTCGTCGTCGTCGTCGTCATTGTCATTGTCATCGTCATCGTCGTTATTGTCGTCATCATCGTCGTCGCTGTCGCCGTCGATTCCTGAGCAATTGCACTCACGCTCGCATCGCACCGTTTCGCAGTCGCGTTATCCGTGTGTTGCTTGCTCGACTCTTTTGCTTATCCACCCAAACGTGGCAAAGTGGGGATAAATCCGGGAGCGAGGGGACAAGAGCGAGAATGGAGGGGAAATGCGGCGGGGAAGCCGCAAATATCTGGGGCTCCGGCGGCCGCGCAACTCGCGCCCTAATCGAACTCTACGAGTCGCGTATTCTCCATCCCCACCGAGTTGTGTGCTCTTTCTCCTCTTACACTCTTCCGCTTCTCGCCTTCCTCCCCACCAACGTCGCTTCTTCGGTCTCTCCTGATCCTCGCACTTCGCGTGACGAGTATTTCTTCCTTTCGCTCATTCTTACTTGCTTGTTTTGCCAAAAAAAAATACTTGACCGAGTATCAAGAAGACTAAACAATATTTCACAAAATGACAAATTTACTTTCTGGACCAATCTAAAATACTGAGCTCAGTTCCGTTACTATAACTGTCAAAAAGAATCGGCATTTTCCTGTAACAATGTTTTTGCGCGCGCGCGCGCCACACACACACACACAGAGAGAGAGAGAGAGAGAGAGAGAAAGAATATCGAATTCTAATTACAAATTTTACCGCTATCGATATATCGAGATTCTGCGATATAAAATTAGAGTTTAAAAAATGTGGAAATCCTATGAGAATTATCGTCGTTCTTGTCACGACGGAAGAATTATGCAACCACCGGCAAAAACTTGTTTGCCACGTTCTTTGTAGTGTAAGTCCCCTTTTCTACGCGCGTTTAAGTTTTAATAAAAAAGAAAACCATGCTTTAAAAGACTTTTAGATGTTGATGCATTTAATTTCTTTAACGCGATATAAAAAAAAGTATATGTATTTCAATTATACATGTATCAACTTACCCCAGAGTCAATTCCTTGAGTATTTGGTGTTGTAGCTCGCTGCTGCAAATTGTGGAAAGCCTAAAAAATGACAATGTTGTGAATAGTTTATTTAAAATGGATGTATACACTTGTATATTTTATTTGTACATCTAAACTTTCTGAGTATTGCAATTTTATAACAAATCAACACACAGTCTTAGCATATATCATGTTCAATTGTGTCATTGTCTATAGATATTAAACATCTGTTCAATTCTGAAAAGTTTTGAAAAAAATACCAAATGTACTTTATTTTAATTTAGCACAATTATGTTACTGCATTAAGTTTTTGGAAAAGTATTTTTCTGAAAGCAATTTAAATCAAGATACAATATTTCTTGCTTCCACAGAGACATTAAATTAAACAAACTAGTAATTTTGTTTAAATTATTTATGTCATGTATATATAGATGTAAATATATTGATAGCACAATACACTTGGTTGTACATAAGGATTTTATTCTTTCTCTAATATAACTGATATCAGAGACTATCAACAAGTAGTGTATAATAATATGAAAATTTTGTAAGTAGTCACCTGAGATTGACTGGTAGCCTGAGGTTGAGGTGATGCAGCAGGTGGTGGAGCTGGGGATTGAGACAAAGCACGCTGTGGTGATTGACCCGATGGTGTGACCTGATTACTCGGCGGCGGAGGTGGATTTGGTTGACCACCTTGGTTCCATCCTCTTTGTTCAGTATATAAACTGGAGGGATGGCTGGTTTGTGATGTATAAGAGTTTAGCTGCAAAAGAAAACAAACATTTTGTAGACATGCCAAACTGATATTAAAATACTCTTTAATATAACTAATATGTGAATATTAAAGTGATAAAATATGTGTTTACCTGATGATGACTATATGGTGCATGAGGTCTCGAAGGAGAGGAATATCGTTGGGTATATTGTTGATATTGCATAGGTGTTGGAGAACTCTGTCCTCCTGGGCCTGTATGTAATCTCGGTGAACCCTGAGAAGTGTTGGCAAATATAACATTCTGTTACAGTGTATATACAAATGTGTTACATGTACATATATTTGTAAAATTGTTGAAAAAACCATTAATACATTAAAAAGATAAAAAAAGAGAGAGAGAGAGAGAGAGAGAGAGAGAGAGAGAGAAAAGAAGAAGACCAAGTAGCAGAGTTAACAAATAAAAAAGATGAATATACCGTCTGTGGAGGGCGCTGGCTAGGTTGCGGATAAACAGGAGGTACAACTGGCGGTGGCCTCTGCATAGGCCAAGGCTGTTGATACTCGGGATAATTGCCATGAAAACGGTGAGCTGGTGTGGTTGCTTGGAGTAATTGGTTCAACGTAGGTGTTGGACCAGTAGCCTGTGATATACTCTGTCCGGAGAGAAACCTTGGTTGGCCGGAAAAATTACCGGGAGCAGCACCAACGTATGCGAGACGCGACTCGATCTTGGAGGTGGAGTAATGCTCATCCATCTCAGCTTGAGCCCGGTGCGTTCGCTCGCTCTCGTGCATCAAGTGTTTACCATGATAATCGAGCTGCTTGCCGGAAAAATCGGCGTGTTTAGCGACATAGTCCGGTAGCTGTTTACCGGGCGGATAATCAGTGAGCGACTTGCTCGTGGCAAACTCGGCGGATTTGTTGTTACTGTATTCGTCCGCGTAGTCACCACCGCGTATCACATTTGGCGCGAACGGATGGCCCGGATGACCCGGGTGACCGGGCGCGTCGTGCGCCTCCTGCTTGCCAACAGGCTCCTGGGACGCCTGGCCGGCCTCGCGCGGCGATTTCACTTCACCGGCAGCAGTGTGTCCGCCAATGTCCTCACGATATTGACTCATCTCGTAACCCGTCGTGTCCCCGCCGCGATTCACATATTTAAGCAGCTGGGCCGCGCCCCGAGACACTTTATCCTCTGGCTCCGAATCCAGCTGCTGCTTTGCACTAGCACTCGCACTATTCCCACCGACTTGCGTACGCTTCTGTGCGCATTTCACGGACTCGTTCAGCTTCACATCGTTTTGTTGGCTCTCGGCTTGCGTCGCAGCCATGTTCTCCTCTCCTCACGGAGCCATCGTCGTTTTCTAAACTGGCCAATAGCGGGACCTCGTGTGCGCCTCTCTTAACAGGCCGAATACTACGTACTCAAAATCGAAATACCGATTAGTCGAACGGCTCGTGTCACGATTATCACCTTCCGGCTCATCCTCGATCACTTGTGCGTAGATTAAGCGGCGCACTAGGAAATATCACTTCCTGGCCTTTTCCGAGTAGAAGGAATCGAAAAAACTCATATGTGAACGTCAAAAGCAGCGTCGCATGCATTACGCCATCTTACGCCCGCGAAGCGCACTGTCTCTCCTTTCGCTGCCGTTTCCAACGCGCTTTTTCCTTCCCTTCAAATCTCGTTTCCACACTAAAGTGACATCCACGCGACGATCAGTCTGTTCGAAATCTCTTAGGGTGCGGTCACACGCGGATCGAAAAATCGGAGCGAAAAAAATGATTACACACACACTTTGGCTGTGTTCCAAAATTCTACTCCGCTAGTTTACGTCGCGTATATTGGAACAAAGATTAGGGCGCTTTCCAGCGAGAGTCATTTTCTCATTTAATATCGAACAGAATGACTCTTTTGTGTCGACTTGTGTCGCTAATAAAGCACTTTATTCATTTTCAACAATGAATTTTGAAACGTGGTTTTTTTAAGTCCGTCAATCGGGTTCGAATTGATATTGAATTTAAATTTAATTAATCAAAATTAAAAAATCTAATCTCAAATTTAGTGAACTTTGCTCTTATTGCTAACTTCTCCATTCAATCAACATCATGATATTTACCAATTATCACTTATCATTGTAATTCAACAATACTTTTGCTTAAAAGATATTGAAGTAGCAATGCAACAGCCGGATTTGTCTGTTTCGCACTACTTTCTGTCTCTTTCAAACTTGGCGCGCGACCGGTCGCGCATTTCGTGGTCATCTAAAGTTTCACATAACCAATCAGATACATACAGGAGGGGGGGGCCACTCCTACTACAAATTGACGTATAGATTATTCTCTCTATACTCATTGGGTCGTTGCTACATTATTGTACGACAACCGATACAGATAAATTTCTAGCTGTCATAATATCAAATCAAACAAAATTAGTAGTAGCTAAACTGTAGAATGGCTTACTATATAACCGTTACAAACAGATAATAGCACTTAAGCCGGGAACACACGAAAAAACTTAAGCATTAAGCAAATCAATCAATCCCAACCCGACATTTTTTTGAACGTAGCTTACATTTGAGAAAAATGTCGGCCTGTGATTGGTTGATTTACTTAATGTTCAAGTTAACTACTTAAGTTTTTTCGTGTGTTCCTAGCTTTAGTCGCATGTTTACATCAAAGGTTTGTTGTAAATTATCGACGGAACAATTGCGGTGAATCGCGGCCATTTGCATTCGTAGGACGAATCACTATCTGAATGTAGAACAAATTATTTCGATTGACATACGCGCAGTTTGCCGTGTGATTGTGATTCTTGTTTGTAAAATGCCAAGAGCGAATGATGATGTTTCAAGAATTGTGTGCGAAAATACAATTCAGGAAAATGAAAGGAGACTATTGGAAGCGCGAATTAAGAATCAGGTACATATTGTGCGTTTGTGTATGTGCGTGTATGCACTGTTTACATTGTTAACATATGTTTTTAGGGAAAGGGCTTAAGAAAACAAGATCTGAACAAACTGTTCATCAAACTCAATCAAGCTGTGGAGACGAACTCGGAAGAATCTTCAGAGAAATCGAGCCTATCCTGGTACAATAGAAATGTGAGTGTTATTTTGGCACCAATTGTCACAAAATGACAAGAGAATGTATACAATTGTATTTTATGTGTTTCTCAAGGCTGGAAGTTGCTGGTATGGTCCAGTTCCAGGATTTCCATCTGGATCCTGGTGGGGCATACGCATGGACTGTTCCAGAGACCGTGTGCACATTCCCTTCAATGCTGATATACATGAAGGTTCTTTTGGTATTATCTCTGTTTGTACCTCGCACACTAACATGAAAGAGGATGTGGATTTTGGCAATTTTCTCACTCTCACTGGCCAAGTATACCACGGAGAGAGATCCAAAGTGGATTGTTTCATTTACAATTACAAGAACCAGATACCATTGAGATTAATCAGAAGTTACAACTTACAAAACAACATTGCTCCTAATACAGGATACAGATATGACGGGCTGTATGTAGTCATAGGTTGTTGGATAGGTGTTACTTCAAATGGAACTAAGTACAACAAATATGCTCTAATGCGTTTAGCCAGTCAGGAATTACCAAGCTGGAGTGTCAAGCACTCAGAGGATACATGGTCCATGCAACATAATAATTCAAACGCCTGTAATCTAAAAACAGATGCGTGTAACACTATTAGTATTTGTAAAAAACGACAACGTGATTATAATTCTGAGAGTCTGTCTGTAACGATTCCAATAACCAATAACAATAACAAGTTTATGTCTGAAAGTTCTATTGTAACACGTCACGTCTTTAAGAAATCAGCGAGCAACGTAGACAGTGCGATATCAGTTTCAGTATCTGATCAAAAGACATTAACTTGTCTTGGTGTCACTAAAACTCATAGTACAAACATCTCGATACGTACGGGCCTGTATGAATCGGCACATAACGCGCCGGAGATGAAAAAAAGCGTCTCGACGATGTTACACAAATCGTCCAAGCAGAACGATGTCGCTCTTCGCACGACATCAGAAGTAAACAGTGGTTGCTTGACATCGAGAGAAAGCAGCAAGTTTATTGGGAAGATAAATACAAATAATGCTGATCAATCTTCAGATACAGATGTCTTATCCACCGATAACTCGAACGGGAGCGTTTTTCTGAACAATAAACATAAAAGAAAGTTATGCTCAGAAGCTATACACTGGTTAGAAACTTCACTTCCGTCATCTTCGTCTTTAAATAGTCCCGTTAATGATATAATCGATTGCAAGAAAGAATGTAAAGAACAATTGTCGACTGTACAGAAATCAAATAATAAAACTTTGAGAAATTCGGCGATATTGAACGAAAGTAATTCTAAATACTGTGATACTTGGAAGAGTGATCCAATTTCTTTGCAAAATGTAAAATCTTTTGAATCTTTAACACCAGACAAAATTTTGAATTTGATCAACAAAGAAAAGCATCATCCTCTGTCCAAGTTATTGATCGGTAATGTGATTGGATTAACGGTTGAAGAACTTATGAAATCAACCGCGTCGGAAGTGAGCGGTCCGAATCTGGAAAGTGAAATTTCGCCCAAGATAAATCTAAGAAAAATAAGTAAAGGCAAAGACAATGTAAGAGAGAATGTCGTATGTTTAAACAATAAGAGATACTGTAAATATTCCAAATCGAAAAGATTATCTTTGAAAGTAAAAAAACAAACGGATGAATTCAATAACATGCAACTTGGTGTGGAACGTCAGTCCTGCAATAATCAGAAACGTAATACCAATACGAGAAGAAGCGATCGAAACGCTATATCTGAAGGAAACGGTTTATTGCCATTCCGCGTCAGACAAACGTCGCTTCAAACCATTGCAAAAAGTACTCGCAGCTCGTGTGAGATAAAAACACGTCTGAGAACTGATAGAGACACGTTAATAGCAAAGCGGAAATTCCCGAACTCGTCAATTAAGAAGAACAGATACAAGAAACAAGATAGAGAGATCGCGAATTTGTCGATAGACGCTAATTTTGGCCCTATAACACGCGGGCCTAGAAACCGGAGATTGCGATATAAAGCCAGTATGTATACAAACAAGAGATATTATAGCACCTTCAATGCCGTAATATATCCGCCTAAAAAGCGACACAATTTCAAACGTAAGACCAAACTGACCAAAGTCTCCAGAGAAAAGAATGCCAAGGCGACATACAGAGTATCGAATATTCTGCATACAACTGGCAAGAATATTAACAATTCGATCAAAAAACGAAAAACTTTTTGCAATATTACTGAGAATGAAAGTAACAATAATACCGGCGATAGAAATAGAGAAAATAGAACCGTAGTGCCTGTTGACAACATCTCTAAGACTTCTCTTGATCGGAGTTTTCGAAAGAAAATGATGCGAACACATCGGTCCGCTCAAACGTCGCATTTAAATAACCACTTTCATCAAAAACAGATGAAAAGATCTAAAATGGCAGACGCGACAACGCAGTGCAGACTCACGTCAGATCCGGAAGTTTATATTATTGGACAAGTGGACGACCAAAGAACTATTTTAAAAATGGAATGGGATAAATTGCCGAAATTTAAGTCGGAATCTGTATGCGGCATCGTCCTCAATAATCCAGAGATTTATCAAAATCCGAGGTTTTGTTTCACATCTGCGAAAGATGGTGCATGTCATGACGAACATGTGAATTCTCTGCAGGACAGACCATCCGCTTTCGTGCCTGTAAACGCATCCAACAGTAATCTGCGGATCGCGCGACTTAGATCGATCGGTTTCAAACCTATAATTAAGCCACGATCTCCGATCCACGATACAGAGATTATTCGGAACGATCTTATAACTATGAATAAAAAAACAAAACGGGATGTTACCGAGAAGTGCAATGACGAAAATAACGTCGTTTTTGCGGAAGATACATTGCAATATCAGGATATTGAAAAGGAAGATGAGGAAAGTGCCCTAATAGCGAATATATTGATGAAATCGACACCAAAACCCATACAAGATGAAGCTTTATTTTTGTTACCTTCGTGCAAAAATTTGGAATCTCCTTGGCACGGTTGGAAAAAAATTGAAACGGACAAACGTTCGTACTGGATCGGCTGGTAGTTGATTTTTGTACAACCGTAAATCTGTATGAGATAATTTTGTTGACGCAATTAGAAGAGAATAACTCATTTTATCTAATATAATTTACAATATTATATTGTATATCTTTATGTTTTGCCAAAAAAATTTAAAGGCTGTTTTTTAGTAATATTCTAAATTATTTTTCTAACGGTAGTAATATAATATATTGGAATTGAGACTAACATGGTTTTAAAAAAGTACCAGCAAATTAAGTATCACCTGTATTATATAATTAAAGTTTTCTTTTAAAATATATATGTATACATATGTATGTAAATTGTGTATGTATATTTCCTCTACACAAGTTTGAGATATATTATTAACAGATGTGTTTTTTTTCTTACTCTCTTGTAAATAAATAATATTCTATTTATATAGCATATTGTCTCTTATCTTTATTATATATGACATGTAATAGGACAATAAAATTTGTTCATAGATTTACATTTTTGTTCTCTTCTTTTTGTTCATAAACGATGATGACAGATTCCGGCATTAAAGTGCTATCATATAAAATAGATTTTTGTTCATCACACGGTCACAGTCGTCTATTATACTTTAAAAAAGATCTAAATATTTATACAAATATGTTGCGCACGAAAGACACCAAATATCAAATATTTATTTTTATTCGTATATGACACAAAATACTCATAAATTGTTCTTTCTCTTTTACACGCGCATAATATAAGTAAGTAGTTATTATCGCGTTCTTCCTTTTATATATCTTTTACGTATTTTTCGAAAGAGAAAAAAGAGACTTCTACTTTTGAAAGAAAATATCAAATTTTTAAAGATACCTTCTATTTATTTGTTTATATATATATATATATATATATATATATATATATATATATTATGTGTGTGTGTGTATGTATATCTGTGTGTGTAAACAAATAAACAGAAGATATATCTTTAAAACATTGTGTACACACACACAGATAAAACGGAATTGTCTGGAGAAAAATCCATTAATGTTGTTGAACCTTAAATCTTTTAAATATGCATAAATATAATTTGTACAAATTAAAATTGGCTAAATGCAATTCTTTTATTAAAGAAAAAGGAAAAAAAATTTGGTGAACAAGCGTCAACACTCACACGTCACGCAAATTTCAAAGGAATCCATTGATTCCATAAAATTAAGTACTATATATTACAATATACATATAGCTTATGTATGTATACATACCTATTCACACGTAAGCTTTATCGTGCAATTAATACTTCTTATAGTGCCATGGTGTAGAGTCACAGATATACAGACAGATATAATCTCTGCTTCAAACACGCGCGCGTCAGCATATTAAAATAAATAAAATATATATATATATATATATATATATATATTTCTTTTCTATATACTATTTACTCAAATATATATATATATATGTTATAACATAATACATGTAACTAACACGGATGTAACATTGTGGAACTATTATGGTGCTATATAACATACGCCTCACACACGATCTCTCTTTCTTTTTGTTTGTCTCTTTTTAAATCTGTAAACAAGAACGCTGTAGTCTTAACTAATAAAATTCGTTTTGCGCGAAATTATTTCAAACATTTTTTCTTTTTTGTTTTCTTGTAAAGAAACCAAAAAAATCTCTGGAGATTCATGGAAGTCCCACGTTGTGATGTAACATTTGTCAATTGAGACTCTATCATGTGAAGATGACGCGCTTTATTGAAATTCATCATCGCTGCTCAATAACATTGTTTTCTCGTTATAATTATGAGAAATTGTAGCGACGCGCTGATGAGAGGTGTTTCGTCTTTGCGGTGGTGGTACTGGCATATTTTGCGGGTCATCCGGATCAAAGCTGGATATTCGCATACCACGTTGTCCTTTTGGGCCTCCTAATTGTTATAGTATGTTACATTACACACAATGGTTAAACACACAAAATTAGCGGTGATCTTGACTAAAGGTAACGCTAACTTGGTGATAGATTGTGTTTATACGTATTTTGGTTTACACACGCGTGTCTATTCGTAATGTTATTGTAATAACAATCACTGACAAAATTTAACGCGTATTCTTGTAGAAGTCACATTTATATTTCAAATATTTTGGTTTTGTAATTATGCTTGTCAAATCAAATTGTCAATGCTGCAAAAATAAACTTTCTTCATAAATATTTATAAACTATAATTACAACATATTTATTGAACGATAACGACCAAGTTTGAACTTGATGAAAGTAAGGCAATGTAAATGTTTGCAGAAAATTATATAATTAACGCGATAACAAGTCGCGTGTAAATTGTATCACTAGCAAATAGCAAATCGAATTGTTTCAAAAATTTACAGTGACAATTAGATCAACTGTGTTTGTATTCTTATACAACTTGTGTGTGTGTGTGCGCGCGCAAGAAAACAATGTATAATATTAATGCAATAAAAAATACAAAATAATTCATGCAGATTATTGAAGTAGAAAATGAAATAATTGCAAGCAGCTAGGATTGTGATATTTTTGTCATTGTTTTGCTGGAAAAAGAACACGATAACATGCATATAAGCTCAACTGTTTCATCATTCTGTAAATATGCACGTGTATGTGTATATATATACATGTGTGTGTAAAAAAGATATTATACAATATAAAATAAAAGTAATAAAATATTAATATATTAAACTTGTGTTATTACACAATATTACACAAAATAAAAAATTATTAACTAAACATCTAATTAATCTTTACATTCATAAATTACACCCTTTTTCCCTCTTTTTTTCTTTCTTTCTTTTTTTTTTTAATATTTATTTTATGTTAAATGCTTAATTTCTATTTTATAGCAGAGTTGGTTAATTGCACGATAGATATATAATATGTATATGTACGTATCAATGACACATTTTTTAAGTACAATTGTTAAGTATAACTTATTTCATATTTCAACAGAGAATTCATTTATCAACTCCTTCCAAAGAGATATCAATTTTTAAGACATTCCCGTGTATTCCCGTAAACAACTTTAATGCTGTATCGTATCTTTCGATACTCATTTAAAGTCGCGCACACAAAGCTCGATGTCCAATTTCTTGAAATTAAAAAAGTGACGCCTCACTGTGTCATAGCTTTTCATACGGCAAGTTGGTATTAACGTCTGAAAAACATCAAACAAAAATGCCTTCAAAGTAATTGTTGAATCTAAACCGATACACATACAGTATGTGACAATTTATGTAAGAAATTATATTGTTTTATAATATATGAAAATAACAAAAACGTTAGTAAATTATTTTTTAAAGCAAAGTTTGTATACTATCTGCAATTTTGTGCTTGTAAATAAACTTAAATACGCACGTGTGTAAAAAAATAGATAACGTAATATTAATATCACAATGCTCGCATTAGTTAGAAATAAAATATTAAAAACAAACAGTGAAATATAATTGTATGTACAGAAGCCAAAGCTTTGCAATGAAGCATTTGTAATTTTAAATAAAATATATAATTGTCGCATTATTGGCTAAACATGTCAAATAATTTTTACGATGCTAGTTTCAACATATTCTTTTCTTCTTTGCGAAAAAGTCAGAATGTTTGATAAAAACTAAATATAACAAATATATGAGAAAAAAATGACAAATTTTCTTGCAAACTACAGTACATATTATACGAATTAATTAATTGATTTGCAAATGAGTGTATATATAAAGTTAAACACACACACACACATATATATATGTGTATATATATATATATATATATATATATATATATTATTGTATATATATATTTACATATTAATAAAATAATAATGCAACAATTTCATAAAAGAAATATTAAATTAAGGAACATTGCACATACCCGCGCTGTACTGAGTATACTGTTGGTATTGTGGATGGAAATTATGGATGGCATCAGTCATAATATCTTTTGGATTCATTGTTTCCTACAAAATATTGACCAGTAGTACACCGAGTTTATTAAAAAACTGATTGCATCTCTGTAAATGCTCTGAGACATTCTATACATACTTTTAAACTGCTGCTTATACTTTGCATGGTCACGCTTCGACCTCGAGAATCAGTAACACAGCCAGCTGCATATACTTGATACGGAAATGCATAACGCAAAGCTATAGCGGCAAACAACATTTCAATGCAAATAAGAAAGTTTTGATAACCCGCAGAGACGGTACCAGCGCTTGTTGATTGACCCAAACTATTTATAACAGGTGAAATGACATTAGCTTTTTCCAAAATAGCTAACAAGACTCCTGCGTTAAAAGATTATTATTTTTAATTATTTCCTCTTTAATGAATATATCTAAAAAATGTGTTTAAAGTTTTTTTTAACATTAAAATGTTAAACTTGGACATTACCTTGCCAAAATGACAGAAAGATCACACTTTTTACTGTACAAAATTTAAGTACAGGCTCAAATGGTGTTAGCAGGTCCCGCGTAGCGAAATAAAACAAAAACAAACCGTAAAGTGCAAGTGACACACTGATATTGTAAATTACAGTGATGTAAATATAACCACCATCAGGTGACCAATCTCCATCTCTATAATGGCCAAAAGCTTGGAGAAATATAATAACAAATGCCATTACTGGTTTAACTAAACAAAATTGTAAAGTAGCCTGCTTGCAGAATCGTAAAAAGCCAATGGTATAAGTCTTCCCAACTAGGCAACAAGTACCATAAAGGCAACTAGAACGTATTGGCTTGCCCCTGATTTCGGACATAATATTGCCCTCACCACCAAGATATTCATAGCAGAGTGACAAAAAGTTATATATAACAAACGCCTCATAACAGTCCCGTACTGTGAAGAAATAAACATAGTAACTTTCACTATTGAAGAACAGCAGTGAGACCCAAGAGTATATGGCATAAATGGGCACAATAAAGAGAATTCGCACTATCCATCTCTGTTCTGTAGGATTTGTATACCACCTCAAATGTTGATAAATCTATAAGAAAAAAAAGAAAAAAGAAAGCATTGTTGATCAACCATTGATTATCACTGGTAACCGTAAATATACATAGTAAAACTTGTTAAAATTAATAGACACCTGTTGGCAAGTAAGAAACAGTGCTACCCATACAAATATACCGGCAATGCCTTGAGCTGCATGAGTTTGCAAAAAAATTGGTGTTGCTTCTTTAGGTACATCAGTCAAGTCACTAATGTCGGTAGTTGTTGACATCTTGTCGAGAGGATTTACAAATGAGGCGCGTGCAACACCACTCATATGTCAACCTGCTGGTAACAGCATATATGAGTATCAATAATTATAAGAATTGTCTTCAAGGATAATAGTCGCAGACATTTAGATTTAGATTCGACAACTGACACGTAATTACGACAAGAAGTCATCACAATCACTTATGAAAGCGAGGATGCGCGAAGAAAAGAGATTGTAAGAGGAAGGGAGCGAAGAGGGGAAGAAAGAAACGGCGTGGCGTAAACGCGAGATTGCACGACGGAAGGTAGCGTAGAGATCGATATATATATGTATATATATATATGTGTATATATATATATATATATATATATATATATAAAACGGTAGTCAGAACAGTTATTTTATTGAACAATTTCGTAGTCGTCTAGAGAAAAAATCTCAATCATATTGCCACGCTACAAATAGCAAATAACCGAGAAACTAATTTCCACACGTCTGTGCGTATAAGATATGCGAATTGAGCAAAATTATAGCGATTTAAATTAATAAACAATTCACGATAACAATGTGTCGAGTTGTCGATTTCGCGCGAGTTAAGCGAATTTTCTTCTCCTTTACTAAGAATTTCTCAACATACCCTTGCCCCCATTCGCGAGATCTTGTCCAAGTATTGCAGCATTCACACGCTCAACGTTTCTCTCTAGAGTTTCGTTCACTCCGCTCTCAATCTTTTGACAACGTTCTCTTTCCACAACGCGACCAACGCAGCTTTTAGTATATTTACGAGCAATTGCTTCTTATCAAATTCCTCAATAAATCACGAACTACAGATCTCATAGTCGCATACTTTGCTAAGAATCAAATCATCACCAAGTTGGCCGCAATTTTGCAGACACGACAACGTTTCGAGAGACAAACAGCACACGCACACATTCACGCAGAATTGATTGCCCTCCAGATATATACTCGCGTATATCTACTCCATTTTCTACACTCGCTGATATGATAGTTGTCTGTTCTTTTTATCTGAACTGGCTGCACTAGTTTAGAGTTTATCTTTTTCACTCCACATTGGGAAAAGAAAGATGAACTCTGAACTAGTGCAGCCAGTTCAGGTAAAAAGAACAGACCTATCAGGTCTGTAAGCTGTAAGAAATTGACCAATCACAGACAATTCACAGAAGAATAATCTATTGTGATTTGATATTGATATAGTTATAAAATAGTTAATATAGTTAATAAAGAAAATAAAGTGCAATGTATTAAGGGTCGTCTACAATGGAGAGTTTTAGACTGTAACAGTAAGAAACTGACAAATCACAATCGATTATTCTTCTGTACTATGCCTGTGATTGGTCAATTTCTTACTATTACGGCCTACAACACTCTCCATTGTAGACGGCTCTTAATATTTTTTCTATTGTATTCAGGCCCTAAGATTATTTGAACCAATAAGCATCCAGCTTAAAGTCGCGATAGTGATTTACATAAAACTATGTTGCAGTTAGGGTTAATGTGACGATTACAGATTCCACCAATAATTGAATAAGCTGCTTCGTTCTAATTGGTCAATCTGCAACCGCAACCGAGCAGTAATTATAATAATATATATGAGTTTTATATTACACTGAATAACCATCAAACTTTTTATGTTCAAACAGCAGTAGATATTACAACAATCGTGACAAGTGTGTGATGTGATATCACGTTATTAATTAATGGTAGCAATTAAGATATTGCAATATTTTACAATTTTTTCTATAAGATATTCTAATATTTCCGCACAGTATTGTCAAACTATATTTGTAATATATAGCATTAATGGAATATATTTCAATGTTTTGTGTATTTTGTACTTTTTATGGGGTTTTCTTGTATCTATTTTTTATCTTTTCTGTATTTTGTACTATAAATGTTTCGCTGTTTTACTTTCCACAATTAATTGTGTTGTTTTTTTTTCTTTTCACGTAAAAGCGCGATAAGTCGACAAAAATAACCAATCAATCTGCACAGCTATTAAAAAAACATATTTGTATAAAGTTTTGCTGTAGGCAATTCTATGTAAAAAGTTAATTTGTTGTCACGTGACCGATTTTAGTTCACTCAAATGAATGGTATAATAGAGGTCTCTGAAATTTGTCGCAAAAAATACGGATTCTCCTAGCACAATATGGCGGCTGTGACAAGGTTTTCGCCGTGATATCACGTTGTTGATGATTGTAAGAGGTGAGATTGGCATTCGGCGCGCGCATACGTCCAGCGCTAATCTGTGAGCCGGCGAATTCCCCGGGCGAGAAGAATCGTGCGTGCTAGCAATATCCGACAATCTGTCGGAGCGGCCCGATGCGGGTCGCGCGCATCTGCCTCCGAGCAAATGATGACTTCGATGTTGCCCAGCTTTAACCCGCCTATCGTCAAGCGGCTGTTGGGCTGGAAAAAAGCCGAGAGTGAAGACAAATGGAGCGAGAAGGCCGTTAAAAGCCTGGTGAAGAAGCTGAAGAAGTCTGCGGGTCTCGAGGAGCTTGAGAAAGCTATCACAACGCAGAGCTGCAACACAAAGTGCATCACTATACCAAGGTACAGTATACATTAAATCCAAAGAATCTTGTGATTGTATGCGTATTCTATGTGCAGAAAACAGTATGCAAAACATGAGAAATATAAAATAAGAAAAAGAAAACGGAAGAAAAATTAAATTCCAAGGATAAGAGAAGAAAGCGCTCACATGTGTGTATGTTGCGCGACACACGTCTGTAATCTACATATACACGCGCGCGCGCGCGCGCGCCAGACACAAACACACACACACACACACGATGTGTGTAATTCATTTGACGCGCATATATTTGACGTTGTTCGTTCAACATCTCGTCGTCAGATATGCAGGACTTTGTTCTTATTAGAAACCGCAAAGAACTTTGAAAACGATGAAAATTTGTTTCTTTACAAAGTCTCTGCCATCTCTCACTTTACACTTCACTCTATGTCCATATCTGCGACGAGACAGACGTTGCGACGTCATGCAGCGACCGATCGAAACGATAGCGCACGCACGTTAAAAACACGATTAATGCGCACAAGGTGGTAAACACACAAAAGAATTAGGCATGTAATTAGATCCAAGTATATCGATGAGCAATATAGAGAGGGTAAAATCTGAAATTCAAGACTATTCACGACAGCTATTTAAATACAAGATTAAAGACGCTAAATTAAGATAAAATTTATTATTTATTTTATACATATTTTTTAACAAGTATACTTTTAATGAAGAGTTTCGGCTCTAGAAGTTTAAAACTAACAATAATTTGTCATTGAGAGCCTTATGCTAGATGTTCGTTGCGAAATAAATATATATGTGTTTATATTCATATTCTATAATTCTTTTTGTGTAAATTACACGTGAATTTTGAATTGAAAGTTTAATTCTTTTACTTCATATAGGATGCTATATATTTGCATCTTGTATATAATAAATATCTATATACCCATATATTTAATTTTAAAATATTGCAAAAAAACCTTTACCAGAAGTCGAACCCGGAATCTCTCGCTTTCTGTGCAATGTATACTTTTCTTGTGTACATGAGGTTTTCTTATATCATTCTTTATTATAAAGTAAATTGTCTTCACTAATTTTTATCTTTATTAATTTATATTTTTTATGACAGTAACTCTTGAACTGTACGTGCGAATGTCATAAAAAGATATTTTTTATAACAGAGAGGAGAGAAAAAGAATTTATTTTTATACATAAAGATTATACTCGTAACTAATTAATTATCAAAGATTATAACTAATGAATAATCAAATTAGACTTCTATAGTAACGCGCGCGGAATCGAATATGTAAAACATTTTGGATTTCCAATGAAGAAAAGAATGTCCTTTAATAGTTAAAACAGTTTTGTCTATTTTGATGCAGTTTTTCGCATTTGAGAACTAAAATTTTTATTTTTAGTATTAAATGTAAAAAAAAAAAAAAAAAAAAAAAACTTGCGTTGAAGATGAAACAAAGGTATGTTTATATCTCATTTATGCCTTGAACAAAGTCTCACAAAATACATTAAATTTATATCTTACATAAGTGCGTAATTTATATTAAACTAAAGTATCTAATAGTGTGCTACAAGTTTAGTTTTCTATAGTTTAAGTAAATTGTTGTATATACAGTAGAATTTCAGTATATTTCGAGCATCACCGTTTTGACTTCTCCTTTATGGGCGGACCATTAGGTTTTCTCACCACCTGATTTTGAGTGACTGCAAAAATCGTAGAATGCGCGTCTATTCGCACTCTAAGAGTCTGAAGGCCGGTTGTTCCACCTTCAGGTAAAGTATCGGGTAATCTATCTAATGGTTAAAACTCTGATTTGCGTTGTTTCACATGTCGGTAAAATGTATTTATCTAATAAATAATCAGAAATCAAAAGATAAATTACACAGTACTCTGGGTAAGTCATATCTAACAGATAAATATGTAGAAATGGAAAACAGTGGGAGATGCGTTAGTTCCCTATTTCATAGATAATATAATCTGTCGAATAAACTGAGATTTATCAGAAGGTGAAACAACCGGCTCTAAGAGAAAAAGAAACATTTCTTTTTCCTCTCTTGCAATCAGTCGATCACTAACTAAAAAGGGAAGAAACTAATTTTGAATTTTATAGTCAGTTTCATGCGCTTGAAATTACTGGAGTTTTACTGTACGTTATGTATTTTTATTCATTGATATAAAATTTATTAACACAAACGTCTCGAAATATAAATCGTCACATGCACAATTGACTCATTCGGACTCTGACTAATTCAGAGATGTCGCAATTCTATCAACTTTGTAGCAAAAAAATAAACCGATTTAGATACTATTTACACTTTTGTGTAAAGGTGCTAACTGCTAGTAAATCAGTTATTTTTTAGTTGGTTCATTGTTAAGATGTTAATAGTTTTTCAATTTTATACGCTTTAACGTTTTTATTATAAACTATAAAACTTAAGAACTACTGTATTACAGAATGCAATATCAGATATTAGAATTATAGAAATTAAATATACATGTGTGTGATCAGTCTCTACTTCATACTACTTGTACATTCATAAAAAAAACTGCAAAAGAATTCTTTTTATTTGATTTGACAGGAAATCATCAATGGCGCGATCTTCTTAGCTTATATTCAAAGGAATTTTAAACACGACTGCTGCTATGTGGGCGAGAGAACATTTATCAATCGTTTGTAAAGTGCTTAATTGCACGTACGAAAAGTGCTAAGTCTAACGCGATGCGAGCGATACAGTAACAAGAAAATTGCATTTATCTATATCACGTCTTTTTTTCATTACTTTGTATGTGTGTGTTCTAAAATTAATAGCTATTGTAATAACAGATTCAAAGAATTCGTCTTCAAAACATTTGAAATTAAGTTTTATAGTAAATATAAAAAAGGCGAGAGAGAAATTGCAACGATTTTGAGTTATAAGCGATTTAATATCATCAATTAGTGCCGATTAAATTACAAGTAAACTTGCAGAATATTCAAAACTACAAACTTATTTTTCTTATATAGAAAAGTATTTTCGTAAATTTCTTGCTAAAGCTAGCGATTGATACCGACAATTCCATCTAATCTCTTGAAAATGTCTGTATTAGAATGATGTATTGTGTCACGTGGCGCTTCACTCGCACATCATGTATGTATACCGTATGTACATCTACCAAGCTAATAAGAATCGATTGCGGCAGTGGTGACGTGCGTACCGCATGACAACTTTATTAATATAGTAGTCCTGGTGTCGTCGGTGACGAGCCTCTTCATGACCAAGGATACCACGCGGGAGAGTGGGAAAGCCTATCATCGAGAAAGCCGTGAGAGATCCTTCGAGTCGAGTCGCATTGAAACACAGCTTGTTTCCGAACGGTTGAAACCGGTTAATCGCGAGTCTGATAATTCCGCGCCAAACAAGCGTAATAGATCAAAAAAATTATTGACAAGTAAAACATACAAACTCATTTAACTTCAACATCATATCATTTAAAAACTTTGACAAAATAAAACAATGTGATAGATTAAAAATTGTGATATTAAATGAATCAAAGTGATTCCGCAGCATTTTGTTTGCGATCGAGCGATCGACAATCAAGTGTGTGAGTTGAACCGTTAATTTTATTACATATCATTCTGCTCTGAAAACCAAAATTTTTTAAAATCTTTTCCACTTTTTTTCATAATTGCAGTTAACGTTATTGAAGATAAAATTAAGTAGTTTTACGATTGTAATTTTTTTATTATAATTATGTTTTTTTACGTTTGTCAATTGTGTTTTATTTTTTTTTATCATTTATGTACTATACAAATATAGAAATGGTGTTATACCCTCTGATATCTCTTATAGTGATTAACGAAGATAACTTAAAAGAATATAATATATACATTATATATACATGTGAAGAAAATATTTGTTATGAAAGTATATTTCTCTGAAATAGTATGTAGATAGGATTATAAGATTATAATCTGAGAAAACAACTAACCGCAGTTAGCTCATTTTCTTCGATTGCAACTTGGAGTTAGAACCGCTAAGCAATTTCTATGCTTCTAATCATTAGTAATATCGAGTTATTTTTTCTTATTTTTATCTCATACATTTGATATTTCTTTGTCACATTGTTAGAATTTATCTGATAATATTTTTATGTAGTACACGGGGTAACATTTTTGACATTAATTTTATTGTTGGATTTGTTGCTATTAAATATTGTACTATCTTATTATATAAACATTTGTGTTGTATGCAATTACATACATGCGTTTTTTTTGTTTTTTTTTAATAAAAATCTTATTGCACGCTCACCGCTACACGTGCGACACGTGCGAGCGGAGCGCGCATGCAGATAATGCGCCAAGTGCGTCAGCACGTCCCACGGATTTTGATATATTTGACCAAGTACCTCCTGTACGTTCTAACAACAGCAGGTTAAATCAACCTATCCTCATTTACTCGGTAAAAATGCTTTTCATCTCATTGTAATTCACACACTTGTAATTTAAAACACATTAATAAAAAGAAGTTTTTGAAAGATATTAACACAATAAATAACCACACTCAATAAATCAAACAAATATTTTTCAATCTAATCTAGCTAACAGATGTACTTGTAATGTGCTGATAAATCTACATGAAAATATTTTCTAAACTTTTCGAATAGGTTTTTGTAAAGAGCTGTTTGTGTGAATGATAAATATTTTATATATTTTTAGATTACAAACAAAAGTGAAATAAATCACTCAGATTTATTTAATTGCTATGTAATTTTAGTTTCAATACTATGGTTGCAAAAGAAATTTTTATTTAAAATCTTCCGTTTGAAAATTAGCACGTAGGATTTTTTAATTAGCATATCGTTGGTTTAGTACTGTTGGGGTTTTGACATTAACTCATTGCCAAGTTTAGCATCAGATAAAAGTCTGGTAATAACTTGAACCGACAAGACTGGCAAAAACGACAATCAGATACAACAATATAAAGTTTTAATTGTATATTTTGTATCTACAAATCTTGATCTATTGTCATAAATCTTCATAAATATACAATTTAATACAATTTTTTTTTACCATACTATATATATTTAGATTTTGACTTATAATGTGCAGAATAAGAAAGAAAAAGTTTTTTTTATTTTACTCTAAATAGAAAGGTTTATATAAAGTTCAATTGAAATTGTTCTTTTCTGATACTTTATGCAGAAATATAGAAATTGAAAAATATACATGTAAATACATATTCAAAAAAAGTATTTGCTTCGGAACCAGCAAAAATTCTTTTAAAATATTTTTTTTTTTTAAAGTTTCACTCAAGTTTTTGATTATGGACGCAAAAAAAAAAAAAAAAGAATAAAATCTCACATTCTCGTATAATCTAATTATTCGTAAAAATATTGCTTTTCCCGAAATTTATCGGCGGAAAAAACTACACAGCAAATTCTAGACATATTCTTGTTTTTTTTGCGGACATTCGCAACTTTCGATGTGTAGCATGTGCTACAATATGACACAGTGCAAATTGAATTTAATACGTAAAGTTCTCTTCTTAGCGAAAGAAATTGAGTTTTAGTATGCAATTATAAAATTTCGATAAACATTACATGTTTTTTGATAAATTCTAACGTAATTCTCTAGAGTAATGCAGCTTTTGTTTGCACTTTTACAGACCTAGTCCGGGCGGTGTCGGCGACAACGGTGTCCAAGGTGTTCGCGGCAAAGGTCTGCCGCACGTAATTTATTGTCGACTCTGGCGTTGGCCGGATCTGCAGTCGCACCACGAACTAAGGGCAATCGAGCACTGCGAGTACGCCTTCACTCAGAAACGTGACGAGGTCTGCGTGAATCCTTATCATTATCAACGAATACAAACGCCAGGTACGCGCTTTTATTATGCTGTGAAATAAAGTTTTTAAAAATAATATGTTTGCGAATATGTTAGAGAAAGCGAACGAACAGTTGTGATCTGAATGATGTCTACGGAATATCACAATCTACAGTTTGCTTTATTATTTTACTTTATGTAATTTTAAAACAAGACATTATAAAAATACACATATACATTTAATAAGCTTAATAAGTTTACATTCAATTGTTTTGCAATGATTTTTGGTTACTATCGTCTGTTTTACATAAATGTACTTTTTTTTAGATGTAGTTTGAAAATTTTATCATTAAAAAAAACAACTGTTTATCTGAAAAGAAAATTAATAATAAATCTTTATTAAAAATATATATTTTGAGCTCTCTTTTTAACCATAAAAATTTTATATTTTTTTACACAAAGAATACTTTAACTACTTGGATAGCCAAATATACTTTAGATAACTTCTGGGACTAACTGTAGGTATTGTAAAAATACAGTGTAATGAATATTATGTTGTTGATAAAATCTATTAAAAGTAAAAAAATTTTTGTGAGAAAAGAAACTGTCGAAATATTCGATATGCTCGAATTTATTTTTGTTATAATCGTAAATATAAGATTCGATTGCGTGACTATTGATGTGCGAATTTTGCAGTTTTGCCGGCTATTCTCGTGCCGCGACACAACCTAACCGGTGACGAGAACACTGTCCTCTACAATACCTCTCTTGAGGAACTTAGCGTAAGCGTGCCGGAAAACACGAACTTCCACGCGACGCTTAATCATCAACACAATCAGCAGCAAAGCATACCGCAATCTCCGCAACAACAGCAGCAACCGAATAATCCATACCAAGGCATGCAGGTTGGTAGTTAAACAAACAACATCAAGCAAATTGACAGCTTTTGATCGAGCATCTCTCATGAAAAGTATGTATCTCTCGAAGAAACATTACGTATAAATAAATTTACAACAAACGATCATACATTTCAATATTAAATAATCGTAATAAACTTGTATCTTTATTCATATTATACTTGTTAAAGTTTAATATGGATAGATAATTGAGTCGATTAAAAATTTACAATTATAGATTCCACATTATGCTTATGAAATATGTGCTGTTAAATTCTGAACGAAATGACATCTTAAATTATTTATGTTTAGAGCATGCAGACGAGTCCGGCGAGCGTCGGGAGTCTGGGAAGTGTGCAAGGTTCGCCTCATCCCGCTCCAGGATCTATGGATCCTCCAGCAGACACGCCACCGCCAGGCTACATCAGTGAAGACGGTGATAATATGGACCACAACGACAATATGTCCCTGTCGCGTCTATCACCCAGTCCCGTAGATGCGCAACCGGTTATGTATTGTGAACCCGCGTTTTGGTGAGTGCTGGACTGGTTAATAGACAACACGTATTTTCTTATTATGTATTGTTCTGCAAAACAATTTTAATCGCAAGTTTTAGTTTCCCTTGAGCAAGTGAAATGAAGATATAAGTATAGAGAGAATGTTGCACATATAAAAATCTGTGATTATAATTAATAAAATATAAATACAGAATTGAAAGACGTTGAGAGAAGAATTTTAGAGAATGAAAATTGTTATTGTAAAATGTATGTTTTTTTCCATAATAATAATCTTTACTGTGTTATGTATCACACTACATGTGTCTCATTTATATTTTCTCTTTTGCTCATCAGGTGTTCAATTAGTTATTACGAGTTAAATACAAGAGTGGGTGAGACGTTTCACGCATCGCAGCCGAGTATAACGGTGGATGGCTTTACGGATCCAAGTAACTCCGAACGTTTCTGTCTTGGTTTGCTTTCCAACGTAAATCGTAACTCAGTAGTTGAGCAAACCAGACGACACATCGGCAAGGGCGTCAGATTATATTACATCGGTGGTGAAGTATTCGCCGAATGTTTGTCCGACTCGAGTATTTTCGTGCAGAGTCCCAACTGCAATCAACGTTACGGTTGGCATCCTGCCACTGTTTGCAAAATACCACCAGGTAAATGAGTAGTTTATTCTATTTCCTTTATTATAGTTAAAAGAAATTATCTGTGTTCTCATCTCACTTTTATCAATAAATGCCTTTATTTATTATTATTGAAAATCTATATAGTGTACGTTTCTATATGCATATACATATAACTTGCATTTAATATATTTATCGATAAAAGGTTAGAATACAGGCCAATGAGTCTTTTAAAAAATACTTACTTTTAAAATAAAATTTTATTTTGTTTTTTCTCTCTCTCTCTCTCTCTCTCTCTCTCTCTTGAAATTGATGTTGAATTTGTTTTTTAACTGTTAATGTGTAGGATGCAATCTAAAGATTTTCAACAATCAAGAATTCGCAGCGTTGCTGTCACAGTCAGTATCACAGGGTTTCGAAGCGGTGTATCAATTGACGCGTATGTGCACAATCCGAATGAGCTTCGTAAAAGGTTGGGGCGCGGAATATCGTAGGCAGACGGTTACTTCGACTCCTTGCTGGATCGAACTGCATTTGAACGGGCCGTTACAATGGCTCGACAGAGTACTCACGCAGATGGGTTCGCCTCGTCTACCCTGCTCCTCGATGTCTTAAATCTTTGCCTTTTGTGCGCTGCCTCGTCGTTGTCGTTGATTGATTTCTTCGTCACGATATGTGATAGTTCAGTTCATTTTTTTTCGAACGAATACACTGACACGTGTAAGAAAAAAAAATGGTTTCTAATCTTATTCGATGACTCAATACGCTCGAAGATGCAGTCAATAATTGAAAAATGAAGAATTATTCAGGCACAAAATATTAAAAGTTTCTATGCCAAAACCACAACACACACAGTGGCTTTCTTAAATATCGTGCAATTGACCAGGCAACTGTAGCGCTGGTACGAATTGTAAAGGGATAAAAACTTAAACGGCAACTTGCTTGTACGTGACACAAACCAACAATATAAACATCATATTACGTATGTTAAATAATACAGCTCTTGTGTCCTACTACAGTTATGATTGAAGAAAGAAGAAGATACTATACATAAAGACCTATACATAAAGAAACACAAAGCTTTACTTGACGCACTTATATCGCGCGCATATGCACCACAAGACGTATCCAGAGTGATCATAATACGAATTTAGTCGATTCGTATAAGAAGCAAAACATAGAGAATAATTTATATATATATATATATATATTACACACATACACACACACATATATATATATATATATATATATATATATATATATGTGTGTGTATATGTATGTATGTATGTATGTATGTATGTCGTGTGTGTGTGTGTATATATATATATATATTGTATGCGTGTGTATGACAAAGAGAGAGTGATGTGTGCGTTTGCATGTACGTGTAAATGTAACGCGTGGTAACAGAGCTCAGTCTTTTACATATTTTTATTGTTTATTAAGACAGACAACTATTTCAATTGTACTCTACAGTATACGCCAGAAACAAAAAAATATATATGTATATGATGTATTTACTTTATTAGATAGATCCATAATGGAACTCACACACACTTGAATATTTTATATCCATGTATGAACACGCAGATATATGTCGCCTTTTACGTTACTTGAAAAATTACGACAGATGATAGCTGGTATACTAGTAGAGTGCTCAGAATTCGTTGTTGCATAAGATTTTTCAATTATGTAGAAAAATTGCAGATATAAAAGAAATCATGTAACCATTAAACTTCAAAGTGAAATAGAAACTGAGTCAATAAGAGTAAAAAAATAATTTGTAATTTTTGTTAATATCTTTTTACTTCCATTTTTTGCGTAATTTAGTGTGTAATATAACTCGCGCACGCGGGTAAGTGTACTCATTTCAACTCAAAAATTAAAGTGATCGATGATGTTAAACAGATGAAATAATAGAATGATCTTCAAATAAAAAAAAAAACAGATTAAAATTACTTATTTTAAAAGGGAATATCAGGGTAACGGGTCGAAAAATCGAACTACCTTTTAACTATCTTTAGTTATGCTGTTCCTAATACACTAGAACGTTTTAAGTGTTTATACACTTAAAACATTGTACTATTAGCAATAAAATAAAATTAAAAAAATATTAACATGTGGCTGAGATTCAACAATAAAAAAAAGGCCTTTTTGCAAAAATGCTTCTTGTCAACTTTTATGATTCAATTTATTACACACACATGTATACATATTTATGTATATGTTATTTGTGACATTAAATATCAGATGGCACATAGGGTGCAATTAAAGTCTCACTGCACTTGTTTCAAAGCATCTGTCTATCTTTATTCTACATTTAACGAAGAATAAAGATAGAACAATGCTTCAAAACATTTGCAGTGAGACTTTGACCGCACCCATAGTTTTACATTTTGAAGAGAAAGTAGGATGAAAAGATAAACAGTGACATTATCGACACTATGCAGCGTTTTAAACGAGCAATTACTACAAATTAGTCGGTAAGGTGTTCGTTGGCGCTACTGAGCTGAAAAGGAAAACTATGCCTCTTGTCCTCAACTCAGTGTTCTCAGTTTTGGCTCTCTTCTTACAGCATGTTGAAACGGTGGAAGAGATGCGCACCAAAGCAGCAAGTTCATAGTTAAAACTCGCTACTGTTGTGCGCATCTCCTCCATCGCTTTAGCGTGCTGTAAGAAAGCCAAAACTGAGAACACTGCCTCAACCTCCGCGCTTATTCTACGAATTTTTGTTGTTCACTTTTACTATACATATGTTCTACTTAACATTAAAAATGTTCATTTTATACATATGTGATCAGCTTGTGAATATGCGGTAGTAAGATGCCGGTGTGAAAGAACTTGACAAAGGCGAATAGTAGTTTGCGGAAAATTGCTGTACTGGTTTAGATACATTAGGTCCCAAATAATTTTACTTAATTGAAGTCCAATTGTATAATAGTTGTAGTTCTTTTAAATTTCTCAAAAGGTAGCATCCATTCGCAAGATTGCATTATTTTACAAAAACACTGTTCAAGAATACTATATCGTTTTCACGATATACTAATAACCAACTTATCACACTTGTTTCAAAAAGTATATTTGGCTGATTTTTTGCTTAAAATAGATGTTTTGATAAAAATACACTGGTTTACGTCTACCTAGTTACAAGTGTTAATGTTACAAAGTATTAAAATTGATATAACTAAAACACAGGTGTATGCACAATTTTGCATGATACAGGTACATCATCATGATAATTTAAATATGTAGGTCTATTGTTTATACTCCAAAAGAAAAATATATAGCAGAACTGCAGTTCACATGTGAACCACAAGTTTAATCTATTAAGTGCAAGTTTCATTATGTCTTGATATTGATTCGAAAATAGTATAGTATTCATGACTGATAAATTTATTCAATGTTTTGAATTGCCTGATGCTATCGTTTGTCGCGATTGAGATCTCTAAGATCTTTGCAGATGCCGACGCTGATATGACAACTTCATCTGATTTAAAGAAAACATGCTCATAGATAACCCAAAAGTTGCAAGGAAAATTGCATATGTTGTTGTACTACGATCTAATCTGCTGGCTCTATACAAAGGACTTGCTTCCTGCAAATAAAAATCATGACAAATTTATTCCTTTCCTTTAAACTATTATGTATCAAAATGATTTATTAGACTTTTTCTATTATACCTTTATCTAGTTCTTTAATATAATTGTTTATACAATTTGTATACATATATATTAATGTTTTACCTGAAATATATTTAGTGACAACCGAACAGCATATAATGATGGAATGGTTAGATGCATTTTTTATGACAACTCTTTGTTTATATTCCTGAAATATAAGTATTCAAAGTTTCAGTGCTTACTTTTTTATACACACTAATAAAAACTACATAACTTTAATAAATAAAAAGAATTGTTATTCTGTCACTCGTCTTAAATTTTAATTATAAAATTTTGCTATAAAATATTTTCAAAAACATATTAGTTTCTTCAAAAATCAAATATATAAGCACTTATTAAATGAGAGAATAATCTAACCAATCTGTACTACACAACTTGGTAGTTCAAGGACATTTTCTATAAGCGTCTACAAACATTATAAATTAAATTTTCATATTTCTCTCAGTTTTTTATAAAAAAGTACCAAGCTTTCTCAAGTTGAAGCACTTAAACTAGTATTCTTATAATAAGTATTCTTCTCGTAAGTTAAGAACCACATTATGAATAATTTATAGAGAAAAATACAAAAATTAGTTCACAAACAAATGCTTTCTCGAATATACATAAATTGAAGATTTGTTACATAATTTGTGGTTATGTCACACAAAGAATAAGACCGGCATTTGATTCATACTTTTTTTTTACTAAACTAAAAGCAAATTAGAAAAAAGAGATTTCGAGTTTTCTCATATATATTTGACTACAGATATAATCTTATTTTTAAAAAATCATTCAAAAAACAAGTCGCAAAGAAATAATTTTTTTACGTTTTCTTTTTATCTGCTATACATATATATCATGCAATTTCAAAATGAAGATTGACACATCCACTCACCCGCACCTGTCAGAAACCAGACGACAGAAAGACCACTACGTAATGCACGCGAAATCACATGTGCCGTAGCAGAAAGAGACGTCTCCTACCATATACGTAACACCAGAGAGAAGCCTGAGAGCGGCCACGGCCATAAGAGTTTCTGCGATAGCTTTTCGTTTACATGGTTCTATTCTGTGCTATGAGAACACCGACGTGGTGGGGATACGCACACAAGCGAGAACCGTCGTCAAACATCGACATGATATGTCTCTGCACTCTTCCACGAGCGCACACGGACAACGGTCTCGCTTGTGTGCGTATCCCCACCACGTCGGTGTTCTCTAGCACGAAATAGAACCATGTCCACAAACTTAGCACGGAATAGAATCATGTCCACGAAAAGCTATCGCAGAAACTCTTATGGCCGTGGCCGCTCTCAGGTTTCTCACTGGTACTGATATTATAGAAATGGATTACTGAGCCAGTACATAGAAAGTGTTATTGAACAGTAGATTTTATTAAATGCTTTTCAAAACAATATACGTAAAATATAAAAGTATTGATGAAGGAAAATAAAAAGTAAGGTTGACAGTTGTTGAAACTCATATAACCGTTTAAATTTTGCATTGTTAGTCATATAACTTAGTTCCTATTATAATTTTTTTTTAAAATAAACTTATTAAATATCTACTTGTTTACTAAGTACATGCATGTCCGATTACAGACTGAAATATTTTGATTATACATAAATAAGAGATGATGGAAGACAATGCTACAACCTCTAAGTCAAAGAATGAGAATGTGGAGAACCGAAATGTAGTTATGAATCATTACTTCAACAATTCGTCCTCAACCATCTTCAACGAGATCGGTGCATCAGGTTCCTTCTTCAATTCCGATCCTCTACAAATATCTACAACTTCATTTTTAGATGCTACAGTTGATCGAGTCGAACACAGCATATTGAATGATGCGCATCGAGATGCTTGGATACCATCGGAACATACGCGAAAAATACTGCGATCTATTGCAACTTCTGCAGCTGGGACGAGCCACTTGGATCGTGAGAATCTCACCATGCCTGGTCTGGCTATACAGGGCGATATGCCGGATCTTATCAAGAATGCCTCTATTCATTTTTTAGGAGAAGATGAGAATATTCATCGAAATGTGCTCACAGCATCTGACGTAACGCAAGATGAACGTGGTCTAAGAAATCTGATACAAGCTAGTTGTTACCGAGCAGCAGTTAATTTGTCAGGCAGATTGCTGGCCATTTATGCGCAAGGCTATGGCAAAATCAATCAACCTAGTAAACACACACCTCATTCTTTGCAGTTGTGGTATACCCGACTTTCTCTTCTGGCTAAATTGAGACAGATAGACGTGCTAGAAAATGAGTCAAAACCGTTTGGAAACTTGGACAAACCTGACATGTATTTCACCTTTTACCCAGAATTATACGGCACCAGACCAGGCTCTATGGCATCGTTCGCTTTTCGACTGCTATTGGCGGAGATTCCATCTTACTATAGCAAACCAAAACAAGCATTAGACAATCTATACAAACTCTTAGCAACTGTTAATCAAATTATAGCAAACTTTCAAATGGGTCTTAGCGGCGACGGAACACACACTAGAATCAGTGAATCCGACCAGCGAGACGCTGTGAAACTGTGGACCGCTCGGAAATATAGAATCCTAATCTCTATTGTTAATTGCGCCATTGGCATGAGAAACTACATTCTCGCGATTGAAATATTAGAAGATATGTGTAAACTGCCCGACTGGACTACCGAACAAATAGGAATTCTCAGATCGGCCATAGGAAGAGTACATTTGTTCCTCGGTGACGTTACGGCGGCGGAGAAATTTCTTGTTCGGGACATCAAGGAAGAAAAAATGCCGAGCGTCAGGGAACTAGTGGACAGCGGATTGATGGCAGTGGCACAGAACGCTTTTCAGGACGCCTACAACTGCTTTCAGTCCGCGTCGGCAATAGATCCGTCAAATGTAATGCTGATAAACAACATGGCGGTGTGCTTGCTGTACACCGGTCAATTGAAAGCGGCCGTTTGGTTGTTCGAGAGCACTGTCAACAGGAATCCTTTGAAGAGTTTACAGGAACCGATTTTGTTGAACATGTGCACCTCATATGAACTACACACAACGCATTGCAAACAACCAAAACTACATTTGCTGCGACAGCTCAACAGATACAAGGGCGACGCGGTTGATATTCAATGTTTGAAATTAGCGATATAAATGTTAGATTATCATTGTTATCATTTCAGCACTTTGCACAAATATTAATGTTGTACGAAATAAAATATTTATACAGAGATGTAAATGTGTGATAGTAATAAAATATATAAATATATATATAATCATATATATCAAGAAAATCTGTATTTGTTTCAAATAATCATATATATATATAGAGTAGTTAGAGCTGACAATTCGAAGATTGGATAATGATTATATATAT